AGATAGGCCCCAAGCTATTTTTAGGATTTCTGATATGTAAAGCCATGCTTCATGTTTTCCAGAAGCCTCACATCAATTTTAAGCACTATAGTTGTGTTACCATTTTAATCATGGCCTTGCCAGAGGGCTATCAACAACCTTTCCCTTGATAGTCTAGTAGGCATAAATCCCCAAATTTGCTTTCAGCTTAAATCCATTTAAAAAAAAATAATTATTGAGAGCAAACATTTTTTTTAAATCTACAATTAAGTCTACAGTTGTGTTTCTGAATAGCTGTTTAAAAGACAATCCTGAAAAAAAAAAAAAGACAAGAACTTTGGCTTCATAAAGAATTCACAAGCAGGGGCACCTGGGTGGCTCAGTGGTTTAAGCCTCTGCCTTCAGCTCAGGTCATGATCTCAGGGTCCTGGGATCAAGCCCCGCATTGGGCTCTCTGCTTAGCAGGGGGCCTGCTTCCTCCTCTCTCTCTCTGCCTGCCTCTGTGCCTGCTTGTGATCTCTGTCAAATAAATAAATAAAATATTAAAAAAAAAAAAAAAGAATTCACAAGCAAAGTTGGCTACTATGTCCTATCACACTGAATTTTAAAAGCATCTGACCTTATAGATCATCTATACAATGTAAGAAGTGTTAAGTATTCTTTATTTAATATTATACATAAACCACACTAGAATACCTTTCATTAGGCAAAAGGCAACATTTTATCTTAAAGATTTATTTTGACAGAGAGAGAAAGAGAGCAAGATCACAAGTAGGCAGAGAGGCAGGCAGAGAGAGGGGGAAGCAGTCTCCCCGCTACGCAGAGAGCCCAATGTGGGGCTCAATCCCAGGATCCTGAGATCATGACCTGAGCTGAAGGCAATCGCTTAACTGACTGAGACACCCGAAAGTCCCAAGGCAACATTTGAGACGCAGGGAATTTTAACTAAAATGGCATTGTTAAGACCAAAAACATAAAAAGTGGATACTGCCAGTTTATCTTCAACCCATGACTTTTAACAGTCAACAAACACAACTTGAAACAGCTGAATCCTGCTGTTCTATGAGATGATGAAGGGATTTCCCCAGTATTTATATATGTATTAATATTTTCAGTTACATAAGTCTAAATATAAAACTGATCTACAGGTTCAGAAATGGCATTTACCAACTCTGCAAAGCTGAACATTACTGGGACACTTGGCTGGCTCAGTTAGTGGAACATAGGATTCTTGATCTCTGGGTTGTGGGTTTGAGCCCCATGTTCGGTGTATAGATTACGTAAAAATAAAATCTTAAAAAAAAAGCTGAACATTACTAATCAATTGTACTCAAATCTCTGGAAGGGGAAAACAGTGACAGCACTTGCTGAACAAGTATTACTATCAAAGTTCAAAAAGCTGATCCTATTCATTTAACCACAACCTAATCTTATTTAAATCAAGACTGTCCAAAAGAAATATTCTATCAGCCATTCATAATCTGCATTCTGGTATATGATATCAACTTAAATATAGTACACATAAAAAGACATGAGACATTTTTATTTCATAATAAAGTGGTGGCCAATCATTACTCCTTAGTAGCTTTTTGAGATAAGTCTACCCTTTCTCCTGTCTTGACCGCACAAAGATAAATTTTGTCCCAGGGATGTACTTCTTGGGATTATACAAATACTCCATCAGTGTCCCCTCTCCCCAGGTGATGCCTTTGTTCTATTTACTTATTATTTTACTTATCTGAGAGGGAGAGAGCTCTCTCACAAAGAGGGGGTGCAGAGTGAGAGGGACAGATTCCCTGCTGAGCTCACAGAGCTGGATCCCCTGACCCCAATATCAAGACCTGAGCCAAAGTCAGACACTCAACTGATTGAGCCACCCAGGTGCCCTGATACCTCTGTTCTTGTTAGCATAATTGTAAGAAAATCCAGGGACCTGACCTGCCTTTCGCTCAAATAGACCATGGAGATTTGGCCTACTCTTATTTTTGCCTTGCGCTCCTTTTTGGCAGCATGGCACTGGGCACACTTCTGAACAAAAGTCTTCTTGCCCTTTTCAACACTGCCCATTTTTATTTTTAATTTTTTTAAAAAAAGATTTTATTTACTTGACAGACAAAGATCACAAGTAGGCAAAGATACAGGCAGAGAGAGAGGGGTAAGCAGGCTCCCCGCCGAGCAGAGAGCCTGATGCAGGGCTCTATCTCAGGACCCTGGGATCATGACCCGAGCCAAAGGCAGAGGCTTTAACCCACTGAACCACCCAGGTGCCCCAACACTGCCCCCTTTTTTTTTTTTTAAAGATTTATTTATTTATTTGACAGACAGAAATCACAAGGAGGCAGAGAGGCAGGCAGAGAGAGAGGAGGAAGCAGGCTCCCTGCTGAGCAGAGAGCCCGATGCGGGGCTCGATCCCAGGACCCTGAGATCATGACCCAAGCCGAAGGCAGACTTTAACCCACTGAGCCACCCAGGCCCCCCACTGCCCATTTTTAAATCGCCCTTCCATTGCATAAAAAATGAAGGTGACTGGTGGTAAGCCAGATGTCCCACTCTTTGAAGTGCAAACACTTTTTTTTCTTTTTAAAGATTTTATTTATTTGAAAGAGAAAGAGGACAAGCAGGGACAAGGGGCAAAGGGAGAGGGAGAAGCAGGCTCCCCGGTGAGCCTGGAGCCGGAAGTGGGGTTTGATCCCCGGACCCTGGGATCATGACCTGAGCCTAAGGCAGACGCATAACGATTGAGCCACCCTGGTGCCCCTGTACTGCATTGTTGAGAAAAATCTGTGTTCACATCCTTCATCAGTTTATATATTAGTTTTTGTTATAAAACTGAAAGAGCTATTTGACTGATTCGATTCCACTCAACACTGGTTTACTTTTAAAAATTTTTAAATTAATTAATCAATTAATTAATTTTTAAGATTTTATTTATCCATTTGTGAGAGATTGATTGAGAGAGAGCATGAGAGGGGAGAAGGTTAGAGGGAGAAGCAGACACTCTGTGGAGCTGGGAGCCTGATGTGGCACTTACTTGATCCTGGGACTCCGGGATCTTGGCCTGAGCTGAAGGCAGTCGGTTAACCAACTGAGCTACCTAGGCGCCCAACACTGGTTACTTTTAAAAAGTATTTGACTTGTAACTCATGAATCAGTCTTCAGTTAGTTTTGGTAAAAGATGTGGCTATAGTCATCATGCCCAAATTGTTATCCACGTATACTAACACCATGATTAAATATTTTTTGCTTGATAAATTTTGAATTAAAATTTCAGTTCTTAAACTTCAAAAACTATTAAAAGGAAAGAAGAGTAAAGTGCTTTTTTTTTTTTTTTTTTAATGCTTACCAAGAGGAGGCAAACCTTAGGTTGAGAATTTTCTATCTCCACAGTCCTAATACATGTACTAGAGTTTGTTTCTTGGAACTGAGGTACAAAACAAATTTGTTAAGTGTAAAATGAAAAGAACACTGGATTAAATATGAGAAGACTTGCATTCTATACTTCAATCTGCCTCAAACTCGATTCGCTACCCAAGACTAGTCCTTTAACCTCCCTTTGATGAATTTTTCCATCTGTTCTATCTGTACCTTCCTCAAAAACCTCCAGTAATTCCCCCATCTCAGGGTGTAAGGCAGTATGTCCTTAAAAGCACTTTCAAGATCTAACAGGAATCATCTCCCAAATTCCTTACTATTCTTTGGTTCACTTGAAAACACCAAACTGCCTTTCTTTCAGATATCCACAGTGCTTTGCCATTCGCCTCCTCCAAGTTCTCACTCTAATGTCATTTTCTGAGACCCTCTCTGAAATGGAACCACTCTTTCCCTGCCGCTCCCCACCTCTGTAAAGCCCATATCACCATCTGACATTGAATTTAACTTTTTTACTGTCTCCTCTACCTGAATGTTAAGTCCTCAAAGCTATATCCACAGAACCTAAGAACAATGCCTGGAACATAGTGTCTATTCAGTAAATATTTGATGAACGAATAACCTAACCTGCAAAACGAGGTTACCACGGCTGACATATCATCCAACAATAAGGCGAAGCCGTCTGCCTTCTCTTGACTGTGGGCTGACTTAACGCCCAGACTCTTGGCACTATCTGTCCGGAGAAGCCCAGCGTTGTCCTCTGGGCGGGGGTACTCACTTTGGGAGAGCCTGAGGTTGCGACCGCCTCGGGGTCTCCTTCCTCGTGGACCAGGTCGACCAGCTGGAAACCTGCGTCCTCCGAGGCTTCTGCGTTTCCCGGTGCGTCTTCGGACTCTAGGCCACCCGAGGGAATCCCGGAGGATCGGCGGCTAGAGATCACCCTGTAGCGGCCCTCCTGCCGCACCTCCTGAGCCGAAGCGCGGAGGTCGCGGCGGATACGCTGCTGGCTGCCCCGGGAAGGGCGCAATGCGGCTCGAACGAGTGCCTGGACTGGCTCCTCCTGGAAGGTGGTAAGGGAGGGAAGCCGGCGTAAGCAGGAGGTTCGTCAAGGAGTCAGGGATACAATTTCGTCCCAGGAGCGCCCTACGATCCCCTTCAAACACCGGCTCCATCCCGCCCAATACCTGGGAGCGCACGGTGGCCACCAATTGGAAGACATTATTCTCGGGCTCTCTCTCCAGATCCCCGGGGTGTGTCTTTTGGGTCTCCGACTCAACGGCGCCGCTCCGGAGACGTTTACAAGAGAGGACTAGGGCTTCAGCAGGCTCTGCGCTGCGCTTCCGCTTCACGCGAAGTACTGCAGTCCTGCCGGCCTCCATAGCGGCTGTCGCGGAGCACTGTGGGAACGCGTGGGGTGAGATGGAAGAGCCTTCAAGTTCCGTTTCCGGGCCTCGCTCCCGGCACGCCCAGCGGGCCCTGGGAGGTCCCGCCCTCTTTCGCCAGCCGCGGGCCGGAGGAGGTAGCGGCGGAAGTGGACGGAACGGTTCCCGCGGCGGGTGAGGCCCTGGGCGGGTTGGGAAGGTGGGGTAGCAATAGAGTCCTGGGTGCAGCGGTCATCTGTTGTCAGCCCGAAGGTTCGGGCTGACGGTCCTGGCGTGGGCCGCCGGAGTATGTGTCTTCCGAATTCTCGAGGACCTTTCTATAGTACGTATGGGACGGCTTGGAGCCCCTGGGCTGGCGAGAGAACGGGGATACGGTTTTGTCAGGTTACCTCCACGGAGACCTAGATTATAGTTCTTGGTGCCACCTCTCAGCGACAGACACTCGAACCACAGTCATACGGAGCTCCAGCTGTCGCACCCGTAGCTGGGCCACGTTTCTCTCATTCAGGGAGCTGCTAATGGGCTCGATTTTCTCAGTCACTTTATCGAGTTGTCCATTTACCGGTCCATTCACCACATGCTGGCCAGAGCGGCCCTGTAAAAACGTACATCTGACGTGGATATTTTTGTGCTTAAAACTTTTGAGTGGCGCGTGGTGCATGTCGAACAAAATCCAGACACCTTTCAGAAGCCAGTTGGCCCAGTGTGATTTGCAGAAGCCCACTGGTACTCTATTTTACTTAAGCTCAAAGTGTTTCAGTCACCCAAGCTTTTGTCAGTTTTTGCTTATGTTCTTAGTTCTTTATTCCCATAGGGAAATAGGGTTAGGGGAAAAGTAGGGGTAAAGTTTCCAGAGGCAGAAGCACTACTCTTCCATCACTGTTAACTTATCTTGCATGTCTCAACTTAAATGTCACCTTCCTCAGTCTTTCCATAGCCTTGTTATTCTTTTTTAATAGCATCCTTCAGATTTCCTTTCTTGCACCCACATAGTCTGTGGTTGTTTATACTGTCTCTCCCTCATTAAAATCTAATCTCTTGGAGGCAAAGGTCTTGGTTTTTTGGTTATGGGAGTCCTCCAGTCCCTAATGCGGTGTTTGGCATTATGTGAATTTTACTAAAATTTGAATGAATGAACCAAATACCTGCTCTGAAACCTGACTGGTAACTCACTCAGGGCTTGGCAGGGTGGTTTTCATTCCCTCCTTATAAACCATCATACGAGTTCACAGGTTTTGGAGAAGGGGGGCTCTGTCAAAATATCTCTTGAATCTGGAGTGTGGCTCCTTTTGGGAGAAAGACAGTTGTGATAATAAATGAGGGGATTTCTCTATAGAAGATGTGTGGTTCTCACCCAGAGAGGTTACAGGACATGCTTCCCATCTGTAAGCATTTATTTACATTTATATAAAACCAGTAACTTCTCTATGGTATTGAAAAAAAAACTGTAGTCCTTCAGGCTTTACAGTATTCCGAGGAATACTACACTGTTAACCTTTCAATGGCTTCAGAATTGATCCCATGTGGCCCACAGGATAAGGGTTTCAGGACTCTCTACAGCATGTACCCCACTGACATGTTTGACTCCTTGTTCAGTTTTATTTCAGCTACTCTGGTTTATTCACTGTGCCTGACTGAGTCTTTCTCATCTATTAAGTGCCCTCTCCCTCCCATGCCTGCCTAAATCCTAGCCATCTTTTCAGTCTTCCCTGAGCGTTCAGCCAAATGTGACCATTTCTCTCTAATGCAGCATTTTTTGGACAGTTTCTAAAGCACATTATGGATTCTGATAGTTGTACTCTTCTTTTTTTTTTTTTAATTAGCATAGAAGATGTTCACAGCTGATTCTAGCAAAGCTTTTTATTTATTTATTTTTAATTTTTTTGAAAAGATTTTATTCATCCATTCAACAGAGAGATAGAGAGCACAAGTAGGCAGAGCAGCAGGCAGAGGGACAGGGAGATCCAGGCTCTCTGCTGAGCAGGGAGCCCGACACAGGGCCCCATCCCAGAATCCTGGGATCATGACCTGAGCTGAAGGCAGCCGCTCAATTGATTGAGCCACCCAGGTGCCCCAGCAAAGCTTTTTAACCTATAGGTTGCAACCCACCAATTACGAAATCAGTTTAGTGGATCATGTTCAATTTTTTAAAAAGGTTTTATTTATTTATTTATTTTTATTTTTAAAAAGATTTTATTTATTTAACAGAGAGAGAGAGAGATCATAAGTAGGCGGAGCAGCAGGCAGAGATGGGGTTGGAGAGGCAGGCTCCTTGCTGAGCAGCAAGCCCGATGTGGGGCTCTCGATCCCATGACCCTGAGATCATGACCTGAGCCGAAGGCAGAGACTTAACCCATGGAGCCACCCAGGCACCACTAAAGGTTTTATTTATTTATTTGAGTGAAAGACAGAACTGGCAACAGAGATAGCAACAGAGAGCACAAGCAGGGCGGAGGGAGAAACAGGCTCTCTGTTGAGCAGGGAGCCTGATACAGGGCTTGATCCCAGGACCCTGGGATCGTGACCTGACCTGAAGGTTGACACTTAACCAAGTGACCCAGGCACCCCAGATCATGATCAGTTTTAAAAAAGAAAATGTTTAGGGGCGCCTGGGTGGCTCAGTGGGTTAAAGCCTCTGCCTTTGGCTCAGGTCATGAGCTCAGTCAGGGTCCTGGGATTGAGTCCTGCATCAGGCTCTCTGCTCAGCAGGGAGCTTGCTTCCTCCTCTCTCTCTGCCTGCCTCTCTGCCTACTTGTGATTTCTGTCTGTCAAATAAATAAATAAATAAATAAAATCTTTAAAAAAAAATAACTTATTAAAAAAAATGTTTAAAAGAAAAATGAAGTAGAGTAGAATATATCAGAGGGCCTTGCTGACAGGAAGACTAAATACTGTTTATTGAAAGCTTATGTTTATGTGTGTGTATTGTATCTTGATGTAAGCCATTTCTTACTGAGCTTGCCACAAAGTTTGAGAGCCACTAGATGAGAGGATGGATACCCTGAGATTTTAGAAGTAGAGTTTCACCAAAGGATAAATTGACTACTTGAATCAGACCGCTGACTGCCTGAGTCTTTTCAGAAAAGATTTTTCCCCATCCTCTTTTGTTAAGAATTCAGTGTTTCGGGTGTCTGAGTGGCTCAGTTGATTTAAGTGTCAGACTCTTGATTTCAGCTCGGGTCATGATCTCAGGGTCATGAGATTGAACCCCTGTGTCAGACTCCGAGCTCAGTGTTGGGTCTGTTTGAGATTCTCTCTCCCTCTCCCCTTACCCGTCCCCCTGTGCAGGGCTCTCTTTCTAAGTAAATAATATATTTAAAAATAAAAAAAAAAAAAAGAGGGGCACCTGGGTGGCTCAGTTGTTGGGCATCTGCCTTCTGCTCAGGTCATGATCCCAGGGTGCTGTGATCGGGCCCCACATTGGGCTCCCTGCTCAGTAGGAAGCCTGCTTCTCCCTCCCCGATATCCCCTGCTTGTGTTGATTCTCTCGCTGTGTCTCTGTCAAATAAATAAATAAAAATAATAATAATAAAAAGAATTCAGTGTTAAGTTAGTCTAGATAACTTCAAAAGAAAGGCCATAATTCTGGCCAGTAAAGCGCCTTAGGGACATTTTAGTGATCTACAAAGTAGTCATTCTTTCTAAGGTTTCCTAAAGATAGATCAGTGTTTAACGGGAAATGGAGGGAAGTGTGGAACACTTGATGTTTCTGAAGGTAAGAGGCAGGGTGCTGGAAGAGCCCATACTGACTGAGAGGTGCCTTCAGACTTTGAGTGGTGGTGTTTCTCTGTCAGAAATAGATCTCTGCGGAAAAAGGGTTTAAGACGTGAATCTGCCAACATTTATTTGAAGGATATTTTTTAGATGAAAATTTTTTTTAAAATTTTTATTTCTTTAGGGACACCTGGGTGGCTCAGTTGGTTAAGCAGCTATCTTCAGCTCAGGTCATGATCCCAGGATCCTGGCATCAAGCCCCGCATCAAACTCCCAGCTCAGTAGGGAGTTTGTTTTTCCTTCTCCTTCTGCCTTTCTGCTTGTCTGTCTCTCTCTAATAAATAAATAAAACCTTAAATTTAAAAAAAAATTTCTTTAATCTTTATACCCATCGTGGAGCTTCAGCTCAATACCCTGAGATCCAGAGTTGCAGTGTAAAGACAGCCAGGCAGGCACCCCCGATGAAGAATTTTTTTAAATTGCTTTTCAAATTAAATATTGAGTAGTTAAGAAGTAATCATTATTAAAAAACGGTAAGGCAAAAAAACAACAACAACAACAAAAAACGGTAAGGCATAAAGAATGACAGTATCATGAACCTCTTTAATCCTACCACGCATTTATAGAAGAAACAATGCTATTTTGAACTCCTCTGTGTGGCCCTCCTCGATCCCAGCCTTTTCCCTTCCTTTTTATTATTTACTTATTTATTTATTTATTTTAAAGATTATTTATTTATTTGGCAGAGAGCAGAAGTAGGCGGGGCAGGGGGAGCAGGCTCCCCGCTGAGCAGAGAGCCCATGCGGGGCTTGATCCCAGGACCCTGAGATCATGACCTAAGCCGAAGGCAGAGGCTTAACCCACTGAGCCACCCAGGCGTCCCTTCCCTTCCCTTTTAAGGATAATCACTGTCCTCGTTCCTTGCTATTCTTTTTAGTGCTATCCCTGAAGAATATATTGTTCTTGTTTTGCATAATTATAAAATTACATAAATGTAATCACACAGTATGTCTTCTGTGATTTGCTTATTTTTTGACTTAGCGTATTTCTGGGATTATCTATGTTTGCTTGCTATGATTTATTTGGTTAGATGAAGGTTTTCCTAGTTTGTTGGAATTGCTCCTTATATTTTTCCTTAAACTAAGTGTTTGATATACTGAGGCAGGATTGGCGGCACTCTTTTACCACCACCCCAGTCTCTTTGTTCGTCCTTTCCTGTTAGCCTCCTGTTCCCTCTGCTTTATTTCTCTTCTCACCTGCCTTTATTTTGAGGCCGCACCCAGATGTACCTGTTAGGCTCATCTGACCCCTATTGGAATCATTGAGGACTGCTAAAGTTTTCCAGATAGCTTTATGAATTTATGTGTTGTAGTTTTTGATGTCATATTTTCAGTGGCTTTGACACTTTTGTGTATTTCTTGAATTTTTTCCCTTTTATTTGACTTTAAAATTTTCTTCTCTACATTTTGGGCATTATGATATGAATAGAATTCTGACGATTAGACCTGTCCACAAGAAGTGTCCACAAGTAAGGCTGCTTTTCTGTGCTAAAACTGAGGAGCTGATTGGCACCATGAAAGTCTTCTGCGGGCGGGCCAATCCAACCACAGGATCTGTGGAGTGGCTGGAGGAGGATGAGCACTACGATTACCACCAGGAGATTGCAAGGTAACAAGGTTGTGTTCATGATTGTTCGCAGCTTGGTGGGGCACTTGATCACCAAGTGGGAGCCCTGGAATGCAGTCTGAATGTGGACTAGGCATTACTGAGTGCTTCTGATCAGGGCAGATGTTGGTCACGAGCAGGTTTGCTTAGCCAGGTAGCTTTGTGTGGGGGTTAGGCAAAGTCCTTTCTGTTTGGAGAGTGAGATATCATGTAACAGCCTTACTGGCGTCTCAGAGGGGGTCTCTCTGGTGGAGCAAAGAGGACCCAAGGTTCAGTCGTGGAAGGAGTAGTAGTAGTTGAAGAGTTCATGATATGTAATCATTTACTTGTGCTACCGAAATGGTGATACATGTTAACATATGTTAATATGGTTAAATCCTCTTGAATGGAAAAAGCAGGAAAATGTATGTGTGTGTTTTTTTTTTTCTTAGATGGGATCTTTAAAACTATGTAAGTGAGTTACTGTTCTTTAGCAGTTATGAAGTTCATACAGCATGCTAGCACCATGCTAGGACTGAATACCAAAATGAAAAAGATAGGGTTCCCATCCTCAGGGGACATGCAATTTGTGCAAGAGACAGGCATAGAAAAAAATATGACAGTGAGAGAAAGACTAGTGGATACAGGCACAAGAGTGCATGGAAGCAGCAAGAACAGCTGGGCTGGGAGTGATATTTGGGTGATTTCCCGAATATAGGAAAGAAATTGCTTTCTGAGCAGCAGGGATTATGTGTAACCTTCCAGATGAACTGGTTTAGGAGGTTTGGAAGCAGTTCAAAGGGGCTGGAATGGGGTACAAAAGCAGGGCTATGGTGAGAGAGGGTACTGAAGAAGGTAGGCAGGGTCGTGTTGTGAAGGGTGGTGGCAAAATGCAGAAAGAGGAGAATGAGAGTAAGTCTGCGCCCTGCTGCATCTCAGATCTGACTTTGGTCAAGCTGCTTAACTTCCTTGAGCCTCAGTATGGTAATATATGGCTCAATGTATATAATAATGTACATGTCCTCATATAATATCTTTATTTTAGGGTTTGATGGATGAATGAAATACAGTATGTGGTGCAGAATAGGGGATCAAAATCATTACCTTCTTTCTAAGATAAAGAACATTATTTCCTGAGTAATTGAGATGTTAAACAGGGAGCAAACAGATTATTAACTGAGAGCAGTGTGGAAATTGGGTTGGAGGGAGCGGAAACGATTTGGGTGCCATCACAAACCCCACAGGTGAGATGGTAGAGGTGGGAGAGGAGGAGACAGCTTTGAGGGAACTTGGGTTTGGTAACTCATTGGATGCAGTGAAGGAATGAGAGAGAAAATTCAAGAAGCATTCGAGATTTCTGGGTGGGTGGAGCTGTTGTTCCGAGAGAGAACACAGGAGGAATGGGTGTCGCTGGGAAGAGGAAGGTGAGGGAGATTAGGTATCTGGGTTTGGACATTCAGGTAGAGATGCCAGTGGGTGGATAAACATGGGTCTGGGGCCAGTTTGCCGTTAGAATCGAAACTGGAAAATATTGCAGGCTTTCAGAGGGGGTATGGAGTGAGAAAGGTGGAGGGCTGAAGAAGGATCCTGGAATAGAGGAAGCAGAAGAATGAGGAGGGAATGGACAGAAAGTGGGAAAGAGCAAGAGCAAGAGGGAGTGTCCAGCTGGAGAGAGAAATCCTGGATGTTGGCAGTGGAATGGGCTAATAGTGCTTTGGGAGAGGGATGAATGGGGAGTGGTGGGGAGAGTGGGTGGTGAGGCTGGGAAGATGAGGACCAAAAATGCCTCTTGAAAGGCAGAGAAAGGCAGAATCAGATTTCAGCTATGCATTTGTGAGTGGGTTCATGTGTAAAAGTCTTGGTGTGCCCTTAAAAAACAAAACCAACACTATTTTTTCAGTACAGTGCTCTTCAAAGTGTAGAGTATGAACTGCCTCTGTCACACCATGCCTGGGGCACCAGTTAAAGCGCATGTTTCCAAACTCCAGCCCCGTTTCTGGTTCAGGATCTGTTTGCATGTATCCTGCGAACCTGCATTTAAAATAAGCTCTCCAGACTGCTTGATTGGCTCAGTCAGTAGGACATGTGACTCTTGATCTCAGGGTCATGAGTTCAAGCCCCCTGTTGGTTGGGCATGGAACCTACTTTAAAACAAAAACAAAACCAAAAAACGCTCCAGTGATCCTGATGTTGACCTGAAGTGGGAGGTCCTCTGTTCAGTGAGCGCCTGAGCTCTTACCTGGAACTCCGAAGGCATTTTGGGGCTGGGACTGCTGAGTTCTGGAGGTTTATCCTGACCCTGCCAGAGATTTTCCAAGTTTGTGAATTATTGTGGCAGAATACAGAAGAGCAACTCTCCTCCCTTTAACAGCCTATAGTTTGGTGCACTCTTCGTTCTCCCTGATGATGTGAGGGAGAGTGCTGGGCACGATACCCCTCACTTCCATGGCAGGTGTATACTTCTCCTGTCTCCTCTCTGCAGTGTTGCATCTGTGATTATCCCAGTGTGCGGATGTATGCAAGATTAACTGAAGTATTAGATCGAGTCTGAGTTCAGGAGGAAGACAGATGTGTGCTGCATAACATGATCCGTGTGCTGGTGGCTATGCTGTTACTGTGACGGGGCTGACTACCAGAGCATTTGTAGGTCTGGGGTTCTTTGGTGAAAATAAACGTCTTTCTCTAAGATTTTTTTTTCCTGCAGCACTGGAGAATGATAGTTTGTAACGCTATTCAAATAGTTTGAGGGGCACCTGGATGGCTCAGCCGGTTAAGCGTCTGGCTTCAGCTCAGGTCAGGATCCCAGGGTCCCATGTTGGGCTCCCTGCTCAGCCGGGGAGTCTGCCTCTCTGCTTCCCTGTGCTCATGCTCTCTCTCAGTCACTCCCTATCTTAAAAACATAAAATAGTTTAAAATGGGCCTGGATTAGGGATGTAAAGTACAGTAAAGTAAAATAGTTAATAATATTGTACTAACCTTACATGGCGACTACACGTACTCTAGTGAGCATGGACTGTAGAATTGTCAGATCCCGGGGCGCCTGGGTGGCTCAGTTGGTTGGACGACTGCCTTCGGCTCAGGTCATGATCCCGGAGTCCCGGGATCGAGTCCCGCATCGGGCTCCCAGCTCCACGGGGAGTCTGCTTCCCTCTCTGACCTTCTCCTCGCTCATGCTCTCTCTCACTGTCTCTCTCTCAAATAAATAAATAAAATCTTTAAAAAAAAAAAGAAAAAAAAAGGAATTGTCAAATCCCTCTGTTGTATACCTGAAACTGGTGTAACATTGGGTGTCACTTACTGTTCAGTAATAAAAATAAAATCTGTCTGATTTAGGAATGTTTCACATATGTGAATGCTCTCATAGTTGCTGGATATCATTATTGGTAGAGAGGTTTCTGACTTGTTTTGTTTATTTTTTAGATCATCCTATGCTGATATGCTGCATGACAAAGACAGAGTAAGTATAAAAGAGAACCGTTATCTTGCTGTGGTGTCACAAGGTTAAAATCCTACCCCCCCCCCCCCCCCTACCCCCCCGCCCGCCAAATTCCCTCCAGGGGCCTAATGGTAGAATAATGTAGAGAGGTGTTAGGGCGCAGTGTTCAGGAGATCAGTCAGGAGACTGGCTCTGCTTCCAGTTCTACTGTTTACTGGTGTGGGACCTTGGAGAAGACATGAGACCTCTGATATCTTATTAGGATTTAAAAGGAGTGGGATATACTAGCTGATCTCTTCTAGCTAAAAATTCTCTAATTACACAGGTTTACCTTGGATAGTCTGTAATTTTAAAATCACATTTCTAGAGGCCACTGCAGACTGTTTTGTAGAGCACATTTGACTTCCATTGCTTGGTGACATTTCAGCTTTTTCTTTTTTCTTTTTTCATTTTTGTTTTATCTGAGTTTTCTTGTTTGAATTATGTCATAGTTCTGGACTTAGGATGGCTAGCAACACAGGCTTTTCTGGTCTGTAGGAAAGAGGGCTGGACTAGTCATTCTCATCTGGATGGCTCAGAAATGGGGAGCCTTGGGGTGCCTGGGTGGCTCAGTGGGTTAAAGCCTCTGCCTTCGGCTCAGGTCATGATTCCAGGGTCCTGGGATTGAGCCCCACATCAGGCTCTCTGCTCAGTGGGGAGCCTGCTTCCCTTCCTCTCTCTCTGCCTGCCTCTCTGTCTGCTTGTAATTTCTGTCAAATAAATAAATAAATTAAAAAAAAAAAAGAAATGGGGAGCCTTGAAGGCGAAGGGTGCAGGGCCATGCTTAGGGACTAAGCAGTGCAGTGCAGGCGAGGGTTCAGGGCCCATGGTGGCCTGGTCATGAGGCTGTGTTGGTGGTGGTGTGTGCTTCATCCAGCCCTGGTTAGTTGCTCAGCCCGAGGAATTCTGGCACCATCATGACAGCGCAATCTCCGTAAGCATCATTAAGTTTGTAGGCTACACCAGAGAGGGCTAGGTGGTTCCCTGATCTTCATCAAATATCTGCATGCCTTTGCTGAGCTATTGCGGAATTACAGAATGTGGAGCAAACATCGTTCCTGGTTTTGACTAATTTGCACTAGCTTCATGGTCTTGGTTTCTTGGGTCTGTGAGCCTGATTTTATGTCATCTGCGCAGTGGACCTTTTTTGCCTCAACTTCCAGGGGATTTGGACAAAGGGCATTGCCATCCATTCAGTCAGGCAGGCCGGAAAGATTTTTTTCTTTTTCTTTCTCTACCTAGCAGCCCGAGGGGTCTTCCTGAAATGCCAATCTATTTTACTCCTCTGCTTGAAACCCTGAGAGCCCTGTTTAGCACCATCCCTAGTGGCCTCTCATTGCTGTCAAGGTAAAATCCAAACCCCTTGGAGGAATGTTCCTGACTATTACTTACTTCTTTAACTTCTGCTACCTGGCCCTCCCCACAACTTCTCCTTATCAGGAAATAGAGTCAGAATTTTCTGGGTAGTGGCAGAGCCAAGGTAAACTAATTTTTCTGTACTTTTGCTTGGTGCCTTACATTTTGTTATTATTTTAGAACACTTCCATTATCCCATAAAATTATCTCTTGCCTGTTTGCAGTCACTCCTGGTGCCTGCTCTCAGCCCTAGGCAACCACTGATCTGCTTTCTGTCACTGCAGTTTTGCCTTTGCCTTTCCTAGAAATTTCGTATAAATGAAATGATATAAGAGATAGTCTTACGTGTCTATTTTCCTTCATCATGTTTTTGAGGTTCATTCATGTTGACTATATATTAGTATTCATCCCTTTTTATTGCTAAGTGATACTCCATTATATAGATTTACCCTATCTTGTTTATCATTTACCAGTTGATGAATATTTGGATTCTTTTCAGTTTTGGCTAATAGTAGTAGTCCTATTTGTAAACATTCACATGCAGGTCTTTGTGTGGACACATTGTCGTTTTTTTGAGCTATATATGTGTATGTGGAATTGCTGGGTCCATATGTTAAATGGGTTTTAATTTCCATTTTTTCTAATAATTAATGATGTCAAACATCTTTTCATGTGGTTACTTGTCATCAGAATACCTTCTTTGGTGTAGTCTAGGGTTGTGAACACAGGTATGTTTCTTTTCTTTTTTTTTTTAGATTTTATTTGAGAGAGACAGAGCATGTGTGTCAGTGCACAAGCCAGGAGGAGGGGCAGGGGGAGAGGGAAAAGTAGACTCTCCACTGAGCAGAGAGCCTGATGCAGGGCTCGATCCCAGGATCCCAGGATCATGGCCTTAGCCAAAGGCAGAGGCCCACCCAGGCGTCCCTTTGCTCACCATTTTTATAGACCTTTTTTAAAGTTTTTTTTTTTTTTTAAGATTTTTTATTTATTTGACAGAGAGAGAGAGATCACAAGTAGACAGAGAGACAGGCAGAGAGAGAAGGGAAAGCAGGCTCCCTGCTGAGCAGAGAGCCCATGAGGGACTCGATCCCAGGACCCTGAGATCATGACCTGAGCTGAAGGCAGGGGCTTAATCTCTGAGTCACCCAGGCACCCCGCTTACCATTTAAAAAAATTTTTTTTAAAATTCTTTTAAAATATTTTATTTATTTATTTGACAGAGAGAGTGAGAGAGCACAAGCAGGGGGAGCAGTAGAGGGAGAGGAAGAAGCAGGCTTCCTGTCAAGTAGGGAACCCGATGCGGGGCTCCATCCTAGGACCCTAGGATCATTAACCTGAGCCAAAGATAGACGCTTAGCCATCTGAGCCACCCAGACGCCCCTGCTCATCATTATTTTTGAGATTCATCCATTTTGCATGTAGCTATAGTTCATTCATTTTCACTGCTGTAGATTTTGTTGTATAAAGATATCATTACTTACTGTTCTGTTGGTAGACTTTGGGGTTGTTTCTAGCTTTTTGCTGTTGTAAGTAGTGCTGCTAGACTATTCCAGGACCTGTACTCCAGTGTATATGCACACTTTTCTCTAGATTGTGTACACCTAGAACTGGAGCTGCTGCCTGTTGAGTTTGTTCAGCTTTAGTAGGTGGTGTCCGATTCTCTCCCAGAGCGGTTATGCCACTCTACATTCTCATACCCATGAATGATATTTCTTGTTTCACAATCTTGCCAGTATTTGGTATTAACCAGTTTTTATATTCTTGTCACTCTGGTAGGTATGAACTAGTCTGTCAGTGTAGTTTTAATTTGCATTCCTCTGGTTACTACTGAGTTTGAGGTTTTTTTATTTGTTCATTTGGCTTTTCATGTTTCCTCTTTCGTGACTTGGTAATTTATAGGACTTCTTTGTATATTTTGGGTGCTAATCACTTGTCCGTTACATGTGTAGTAGGTGTCTTTGTGGGGTGGTTTTTTCATCTGGTAAGTGGGAGTACTTAAATTTAATGTCAAATTTATTTTATATGTCCTTTATTGGCTGGTACTTTTTGTTTCTTGTTTAAGAAATCCTTCCCTTTTCCAAGGTTTTAAAGGCTGTTGCTGATACATAAAATTTCAGTTGATTTTTATTTTTATTTATCTATTTTTTTTTATTTATCTATTTTTTTAAAGATTTTATTTATTTATTTGACAGAGAGACACACAGCGAGAGAGGGAACACAAGCAGGGGGAGTGGGAGAGGGAGAAGCAGGCTCCCCGCCAAGCAGGGAGTCCAATGTGGGGCTCAATCCCAGGACTCTGGGATCATGACCTGAGCTGAAGGCAGATGCTTATCGACTAAGCCACCCAGGCGGCCCTCAGTTGAATTTTATTTATTGATTTGAAATTCTTTAATCTTCCTCATAGTAATTATCTGTAGGTAATTTGACTTTCCACAGACATTCATGTGTGAATAACAATTTTCTTTCTAGACCTTATTTCATTTTTCTCTTGCTTTTGTGTGTATCAAATTTCTAGTATAAAGTCCACTTTGTCTGATTTTTTAAAAATTCCTTTTTTTAAATTTTTTTATTTTTTTAATTTTTTAAAAAAGATTTTATTTATTCATTTGGCAGACAGAGAGATCACAAGTAGGCAGAGAGGCAGGCAGAGAGAGAGAAGGGAGGAAACAGGCTCCCCGCTGAGCAGAGAGCCCGATGCGGGGCTCGATCCCAGGACCCTGGGATCATGACCTGAGCCGAAGGCAGAGTCTTTAACCCACTGAGCCACCCAGGCGCCCCCAAAATTCTTTTTTTAAAAAATATTTTATTTATTTATTTGACAGAGATGACAAGTAGGCAGAGAGGCAGGCAGAGAGAGGCAGAAGCAGGCTCCTCGCTGAGCAGAGAGCCTGACTCAGGGCTCAATCTCAGGATCCTGGGATCATGACCTGAGCCGAACACAGAGGCTTTAACCCACTGAGCCACCCAGGTGCCCCTAAAAATTCATTTTTATTTTTATTTATTTTTTATTATTTATTTATTTATTTGACAGAGAGAGAGAGAGATCACAAGTAGGCAGAGAGGCAGGCAGAGAAAGAGGGGGAAGCAGGCTCCCCACCGAGCAGAGAGCCCGATGCGGGGCTCAATCCCAGGACCCTGAGATCATGACCTGAGCCAAAGGCAGAGGCCCAATCACTGAGCCACCCAGGTGCCCCTAAAAATTCATTTTTAAAAGTTGTTCATAATCTTTAGTTTCTCTAATATCTGCAGCATCTATACCTATACCATATTCTACCTTGCCACTCCCTGCCTTATTCCTAGTTTTTGGTTACTTCCCCCTCCCCCTTTTTTTGGACTTAGCAGAGGTTCATCAGTTTTAGTAGATTTTTGAAATAACTTTTGTTAAAAATCCTATAAAATGTCTATTTCCCTAGTTCATTAATTTTTGTGTTTTATTATTTTTATTCATCTGCTTATTTGGCAGTTATGTTGCAGTCCTTGTTCTAATTTTTTGAGGTGCTTACCTTACCGTTTGTCTTTTCTAATATACTTCTCTCCAAATACTGCTTTTAGCTATCGCGTGAGTTTTGATATGTAATTTTTAAAAATTCAGTTCTAGATATTTTCTAATTCTCTTTAGATTTAGTGTTTTACCTGTGATTTTAGAATTTCTCAGTGTTCAAAAATCTCTTTTTCTTTAGTTATATTTTTGTTACTGAGATTTCTAATTTGACTGCACTTAGGTCAGAGAATACTGTCCTTTTGATACTAGTCTTCTGTTAGTTGTGTACTGTCGCACAACAAATTATCCCAAAATTTAGTGGCTGAAGAGAGTTATTATCTCACTATTTCTGTGGGTTTGGAATCTGGGCTCAGCTTTGCTGTGACCCCTGGCTCTGGGTCCCTGGCAGTCTGTGATCAAGGTGTCCCCCGGGCGGGCAGTCATCTTAAATCTCAGTTGGGAGGAATCCACTTCTAGGTGTTTGGCCTCTTAATGTTTCGTACTAACTTGCCAGTTCATTAGTGCATTTAAAAAGACTTGCAAGTGGGGCACCTGGGTGGCTCAGTGGGTTAAGCCTCTGCTTTCGGCTCAGGTCATGGTCTCAGGGTCCTGTGATCGAGCCCTGCATCGGGCTCTCTGCTCCTTGGGGAGCCTGCTTCCCCCTCTCTCTCTGCCTGCCTCTCTGCCTACTTGTCATCTCTGTCTGTCAAATGAATAAATAAAATCTTTTTAAAAAATTAAAAAAAAAAAGATTTGCAAGTATTTTCCTCATCATTATTAGTTATTTTCAACAGAAGGGTCAGGCTACCTATTGAGCCAAACTGTGATAGGTAGAACATATATCTGTTTAAGCTACCAAATACCTGACCAAAAAGAGATGATTTCCTTGGCGGGGGGGGTTACTTTGTAGGCCAGGAGCCTGTGTGAATTAGAGTCCAGTGAGGAAGTCCAAAGCCAGGTTACTCTGTCAGCACAGGGACGGGGTAACACAGATGTGGGAGCCCTGGGAAGCAAATGGGAGCACGGAGGTTCCCTAGTGGTAGTAATTGCAGGAAGCAGCTCCATTGCCTGGGGTGGAAATGCAGAGAAAAGTGGGATTCTTCAGCCCAGAAACGTGAAGGCGAGCCCCTATGGAACTGGTGCTCAGCTCTCTGAGAGGAACCCCTGCTGGAGTGTTGCTGCCGCCTGAGGGGCAGAGGCGGCTAGTGATGAGAGGACGGAGAGGAGCTGCCCCTGGAGCCAGATGCCACTCCTCCGAGGATGCTGATGAAAGCAGCAGCCATTTGAGAAGGAATAAGTTTTCTCCCCCTTCCGGTCACCCTCTAGTTTCCCTATAGTCCATACAGAGTAGCTGGAAAAGGAGAATGTGATTGGCAGAGCCCCAGCCCCTCGAAGCAGAGTATAGAGAAGAGGTGGGGGTGGAGAGGAGGGACAGTCGCCAAATAAAGGGCAAGAGCTGAGCCCATGCTCTTGGAGTCTTGCAAGGTCTGCCCGACCCAGCTAGCTAGTGCTGTTCCTTGAGAGGCCAGAAAGCCGTGGGATCATGACTTCCACTGTTCCTGCCAGCCGTGAGTCCCAGACTTCACATAGTACCTTTCCATTTATTTATACTAACTGGTATGAAGTGACAGCTGTTTTCTCCCTTTCTCTTAGAATATAAAATATTACCAAGGTATCCGGGCTGCTGTGAGCAGGGTGAAGGACAGAGGGCAGAAGGCCTTGGTTCTTGACATTGGCACTGGCACAGGACTCTTGTCAATGATGGCCGTCACGGCAGGGGCTGACTTCTGCTATGCCATTGAGGTGAGTCACGCTCTTCAGGTGTGTGTCCTGTGTCTTGTGTGTGAAGTCCCTCGTGCACTGTGCTTGTCCGTTTGTTCACACACATTCATGGAATGTTCACTCTGTGCCAAACACAGGGCCAGGTTCTGAGGATATGGAGATGAATCAGACATAATTCCTTTCTCCAGGGGCTCATTTTCTCCTTGGAAATAGCTATTCTCAGCCTTGGCTGCATGTCTGAATCACTGAATAGCTTCAAAAAATACTGATGCTTAACTGCCTCCTTCCCTCCAGTTTTAATTTAATTCTGGATGGGGCCTGGGCATTGGGAGTTTTGACTTTGCCCCAAGGTTGAGACCTGCTAGCTTAAGTGTCCCCACAGAGCCAGCTATCTGACCATGTTTGTCAAGAATTGGGTGTTTAGGGGCACCTGGGTGGCTCAGTGGGTTAAAGACTCTGCCTTCGGCTCAGGTCATGATCCCAGGGTCCTGGGATCGAGCCCCGCATCGGGCTCTCTGCTCAGCGGGGAGCCTGCTTCCTCCTCTCTCTCTCTGCCTGCCTCTCTGCCTACTTGTGATCTCTGTCGGTCAAATAAGTAAATAAAATCTTTAAAAAAAAAAAAGAATTGGGTGTTTAGGGACATCTGGATGGCTTAGTCAGTTAAGTGTGTGCCTTTGGCTTGGGTCATGAACTCCGGGTCCTGGGATCGAACACTGCATTGGGCTCCCTGGCCAGCAGGGAGTCTGCTTCTCCCTCCCTCTCTGCTGTTACACCCCCTGCTTGTGTGTGCTTGCTCACTTGCTCGCTCTCAAATAAATAAAATTTTCAAAAAAAAAAAAAAAAAAAAAAGAATTGGGTGTTTAATATACGGTTAAACACGTATTGTTTTTCTGATAATGTCCGTAATGCATTCCATTATAAGAAATATGGTTAATGTAGAGTAAAAATAGCATGTTAGCTCACAGTTAACCATTGTTAAAATTTTGGTGTATTTTCTTCCCAGCTTTTGGTAGGGGGTGACATGTATTTAAATACTTCTTCTGGGGCGCCTGGGTGGCTCAGTGGGTTAAGCCTCTGCTTGGGCTCAGGTCATGATCTCAGGGTCCTGGGATCGAGCCCCACATTGGGAATCTTTGCTCGGCAGGGAGCCTGCTTCCTCCTCTCTCTCGGCCTGCCTCTCTGCCTACTTGTGATCTCTCTCTTTGTCAAATAAATAAATAAAATCTTTAAAAATAAATAAATAAATAAACATTTCTTTCTATGAAATTTCTGTGATAATGGAATGAATTGCAAATAACAAAGTCCTAAAATAACAGTGACTTAAACAAGAGAGAACGGGCACCAGGGTGGCTCAGTTGGTTAATTGTCTGCCTTTGGCTGAGGTCATGATCTCTGGGTCCTGGGATCAAGTCCCACACCTGGTTCTTTGCTCAGTGGAGAGCCTGCTTCTCCCTCTCCTGCTTCACCTGCTTGTACTCTCTCTCTGTCAAATAGAGTCTTTTTTTTTTTTTTAAGATTTTATTTATTTATTTGACAGAGTGAAAGAGCACAGCAGGGGAAGCAGTAGGAGAGGGAGAAGCAGGCTTCCCAAGCAGACAGGGAGCCCCATGCGGGGCCCAGTCCCAGGACCGTGGGATCATGACCTGAGCCTAAGGCAGACGCTTAATAACCATCTGAGCCACCCAGGCATCCCTAAATAAATAAAATCTTAAAAAGAAAATGAAAAATAAGAAAAACGAGAAGTGTTTCATATTTTCGTTTAAAGTCTGAAGGTAGCACCCTGGGGTATTCTACTGAGACTCTTTCCAGCTCCCCACCCATGATCCCTTCAGTATGGCTCTCATGCTTAAGGTCTAGAAAGGCGGCATCTTAGGCTGAGGGAATACCATGTTGTGTCATTTAGAGTCATGGCAAACAGTGTCATGGTAGAAATCGAGAAAGGTAGATTGCAGCCAGACTGTGGAGGACCTGAGTGCTGCAGTAAAGACTTTAAACTCCCATATCCTGAGTTAGTTCTTAACCTGAAGTACGAATCATGGGCTTCAGGTTTAATGGAAGTCCTGAGAGCGGTGTGTGTATATGACTCTGTGCGCTTGTTTGAGGACTTCGTAAAAACAGTAAGAGTCACTTCCTGGCCTTTTTGAATATCATCAAAATTTTTGAATTAAATGAAATCTGTGTTTTAGGATGGTTGCCTTAGTTACCCTTAACTAGATTTTATTACCCTTTACACATGAAGAAACTAAGACCCAGAGAGGTTAAAGACTTAATGTCACACTTAATAAATAGGAGAGCTAGACCTGGAGACTTGATTTTTTGGTTCCTGCTTATGGTGCTCACTCCTCAGTGGTAGCTATAATGGGAGAGTGTGTGAGATTTCTAGCGTCGGTATCTGGGGGTGCAGTGATGCCACTGATTGGTAAGAAGAGTTCAGAGGAAGATAACTTGCTTTGTGGGAAAGATAATGCATTTCATGTTGGATATACTAAGTAGGAGAGAGGCAAGTCCCAGGTCAGGAGCCAGTATATATGTCAATTGCTATTTAAAGATAGAGGGTGAGAACATGTTTTTTTGACAGAATTGGGAGGACTGTGCTTTTGGGTTTTTTATATATTCCCATCTCAGTTACCTGAATTTCTTAATTTCTCTCATGCTTCTCTGATTTGTAACTCTCAGATCTCTTCTGTTTGGCTCTTGACATCTTACAGTGGCTTCCCAGCTCTTACTTTAGTGACCACTTTTGAACCTGTGGTCATTCTGTCTGGCCTACCCTGTGGTTTTCAGCTCAACTTGAGCTGCATGCCAGCAGGAAAGACAGGTCCAGAACAGTGACTGAGAACCTGCTGGTCCCTAGAGCTGGACATTTGACCCCCTTTTATTTTTCTTTAAAGATTTTATTTATTTATTGGAAGAGACACAGCGAGAGAGGTAAAACAGGCAGGGGAGTGGGAGAGGGAGAAGCAGGCTTCCTGCTGAGCGGGCAGCCTGATGTAGGGCTTGATCCTAGGACCCTGGGATCATGACTTGAGGTTAAGGCAGATGCTTAACGACTGAGCCACCGAGGCTTCCCCATCTGACCCTTTAGAGAGTGGCTGGTACAAGTGGATTTGCAGCTCGTTTGCTAAAGATGTGACAGGTGAAGCTGGTGGTTGTCCAGGGAAAGAGAGTAGAAGGAAAAGAGCAAACCTGCCTGTGAGGGAAGAAGAGTGACCAGTAAAGTCAAGTTCCGATAGACACGAAAAGACCCTAGAGTGCAGAGGTGGAAGCCAAGAGGGGGCAGAGTGCATGAGAATCATGGGAAAGAAGGAGTGGTCAGCAGGTGCAGATGTTAAAGAGCACCATTGCCCGGAAGAACTTTCCGAGAGGCCGAATATCTTCCGTCGCTGTGCTGACCAGGATAGTGGTGCCTAGCCACATAGGGCTGCTCAGCACTTGCAGTGTGACTTGTATGACTAGGGAACTGAATTTTTAAATTTCATGCAGTTTTAATCAACTTATATTTAAATGCATGTGGTCCCTGTATTAGACAGCACAGGTATAGAAGTTAAGCAGAATGATGACTGAGAGACGCTGTTGAGTGTAGCTAAGAAGTGACCTCCTTTAGGTGGTATTTTCAGGGGAGTAGAGTTGAGGAGTGGATGGAATACAAGAAATCATAGGCAATGACTATAAATTTCTCTTTTAATACATTTGAAAAGTGAGGCATATTTTGGGAAGGTATATTAGTTGCGGTGATTTCTGTGGCAAAGTCTTTGAAAATGAAGCCTGGTCCTGCTTTCCTCACTTCTTTTTTTTAAGAGTAAGAAGAGCTTTCCCTGGAATCTCTAGCAATACCTCTCCTTGGGTATCATTGGCCAGAATAAAGTTAAATCCAATTTAACTTACCTCATTGACCTGGCCTGAGAGATTTGCTTACCCATAGACCAGACATGTGCACTGCTTGGAAGAAGGTCGGTCCCCCAAACTGAATGAAGGGCCAGATGATGTTGGGAAGACTTTAGGGGCCATTCCAGAAAGAATTGTTCTGGGTGAGATCTTGAGTTCTTGATGGCTTAGGAGGAGATTATGAATGTCAGAGCCGGAAGGGTCAGCGGAGGAGATGAATGATAACATCAAGAGGCAGGAGGGGTGAGGGGGTGAACTTGTACTTTGGGGTGGAGGCAAAGTGATGAGTGAGAACTGAGGGCATGAGGCCCTCAGACTACATCTAAAAACATCAAGCCAGATCCTAGAAATAATTTGGAACAGATTGTGAAGATTTCTTTTCCTGGCTAAGCACATATGTATTCTTTATGGAAGGATATAGCATTTCCTGCTTGATTATAATGAAAGAATCATGTGTTCATGGTAGAAAATATAGAAAAGGACTTAGAAAAAATGGAAATCTTGTCATTGTGGCCAGTTACTTTATCATTTTCTATTTCTACCTCTGGTGGGTGTGGCCACGTGCACATCTGTATGATTTTTTTTTTTTTAAGATTTTATTTGTTTGTTTACAGACAGAGGTCACAAGTAGGCAGAGAGGCAGGCGGGGGGTGGGGGGAAGCAGGCTCCCTGCTGAACAGAGAGCCCGATATGGGGCTCGATCCCAGGACCCTGAGATCATGACCCGAGCCGAAGGCAGAGGCTTTAACTCACTGAGCCACCCAGGTGCCCCACATGTCTGTATGTTTTATGCACTATTGTGGTTGGATCTTTACAGTCGAAATTGGGCAAGCTAGAAAGTAAGAGTTAGAGGGGCTTATGTTTAGGGACATGTGAAAGGTTAAGGAAGACTCCTGGAAAAGAGGAGATATGTGCTGCTCTGGAAAGTTAGGTTTGCTTTGGCAGGTGGGGGTAGGGCCGAGAAGGCTCAGGCTTGCCTTACATAGTACACAATGAGATCAATGTGGCTTGAGTATCAGACATGGGTAGGGTAGAGTGGGAGGAGAATAAGGATCAGGGAAGTAAGGTGGTTCATATTACAGAGGGCCTCGAATACTGTAAAATATAGGCTGTGTTCTGCCCCACTGGAGCTTTGGTACAGTTTTGAACTGGTGCCTCTTCATACTTAATGACTAAGACCTAACAGTCTCACTTTTCCCTGGAGAGGACAGCACATGTCCTGCCTCCGGCTCCAGGTACTGGTTTTGTGAGGCCAAGTCTCCCGTCTGCCTTCCCTCTAGCTCGGCACGACACCTGCTGTCTCTGCTAGGTAGTGCAACCTCCTTAGGAAGCCCTGCCTCCGCCGTGTGCCTGGCCGGTAAGGTTTAACTAGTGCAAGTTAAACCCAGCCGAATGTGTTCCCTTTGTATTCAATTTCATGACACACATTTGGAGAATAAAGTATTTAAGTTCCAAAGATGAAGTCTCTTTTATTTAGATTAAATCAGGGCAAAGGAATATTTTGCCTCTGTCATATGATAACAGAGGTACATATTATATATTCAAGAGGAAATACTGTGAGGGAGACCTCTTCAAATCTTAGAACCTGCATCATGGCATGTCTTACTGATCTTGGATGTTAGGATGTTACTGCTCAATTTATTGCTCATTTCTCCTTGGGTTTTGGTTCTCATTTCTAGGTTTTCAAGCCTATGGCTGATGCTGCTGTGAAGATTGTAGAGAAAAATGGCTTTAGTGATAAAATTAAGATTATCAACAAGCATTCCACTGAGGTGACCATAGGGCCAGGTAAGATTAATACATACTGTTTTGAAAGTTTTACTCGAAGGAGAGAAAAGGTTTATTCTGGTTACCTGGAATAAGTGTATTCAGGTAATCACAGGAGAAATGGGGTCTTCCCATGTGGTCTGAAGGTAAGTACTTTGCTTTTCTGCTAGTTAAATCAGCAGTGAGTAAACCAGAGCTCATCACATGCAACTGTGGTGATATAAATGAAACTTCCTTTTGCTTTAAGCAAGTTGGAATTCTTATGTGACTCAGCCCTCTGCATTTTGAGTTTTCTCAAAAACTAAGTAGTTTCTACTTAGTGAAACTAAGTAGATGGCAGAGAGGTTTGCTTTGTGCTGAAGTCCTGCTTCAGTGTCTGAGGTGTGCGGTGTGCCTGGGTAGCACAGTCTCCCCAGGCTCTCAGAGTCATTTTTATAGGCTAGGCATTTGAATCAGACTTCTCAAATTTCATGTGCTACTGATTCCTGGGGAGCACGGTGGAAAGCTTTGAAAAAGAAGCTTCTTGGGTGAGGGTCTGGATATCCCTGCAGTTTTTTAAAACACAGTAACTGAGAAGGAAGTCTCTATATAAGGTCAACATATCTGTTCCATTTAATTAAAAAAGGTTTTAACAGAGACCCTGAAACATGCACAAAAGAATGGATTAGTAGCCCATTTATTTATTTATTTTTATTTTTTAAAGATTTTATTCATTTATTTGATAGATCATAAGTAGGCAGAGAGGCAGGCAGAGAGAGAGGGAAGCAGGCTCCCCACTGAGCAGAGAGCCCGATGCGGGGCTTGATCCCAGGACCCTGAGATCATGACCTGAGCTAAAGGCAGAGGCCCAACCCACTGAGCGACCCAGGCACCCCAGCCCCTTTATTTTTGAAACATACATGTTATCCTCTTTTTTAAATCCTTGTTATTGAGGCAAATTTTCATAAAGTGAGTGCATCTGTCTTAAGTATATAGTGTGATGAGTTTGGATACATGTAAACACATTTGTAATCTCTTTTGCAATCAGGACAGTAGAATGTCTTTATCATGCACATAGAGAGTCCTTGTGATGCTTACTGACCCTAGGTGCCCACTGATGTGCTTTCTTCAATACGGGTTAGAGCTCCCTTTTCTAGAATTTTGAGTAAGTGAAATTATCCATGTGTACTCTTTTGTTCCTGCTTTCTTTTCTGTAGCATGATGCCTTTGGCTTTCAATCACATTCTGTGGATCAAGAGTTCATTCTTTTCGTTGCTGAGTAGCACTCGTGTGGACGCCTTCGTTCACCTGATATACATGGGTAGTTTCCTGGTTAGGTCTTTAGATTTACTGATCTTCTCTTTTGTGGTGTCTACTCTGCAAGGTACATACATCTAGTGAACTTTTTATTTCTGATACTGTATTTCTCATCTCTGAATGTTTCCTTTGATTCTTTTTTATAATTCCCATTATTCTTACATGTTTTTGTGTTTTTTTTAAGATTTTATTTATTAATTTGAGAGAGAGTGAGAGAGCACAAGCAGCAGGGGAGCAGCAGCAGAGGGATAGGGAGAAGCAGTCTCCTCACTGAGCAGGGAGTCCAATGTGGGGCTTTATCCCAGAACCCCAGGATCATGACCTGAGCCAACGGCAGACACTTAACCCACTAAACCACCCAGGCGCCCCTGTGTGTTATTTTAAATAGTTACCGTTATCTGTATTAGATGCTTCAATATATATTTTTTTAAGATTTTATTTATTTATTTGACAGAGAGAGAGATCACAAGTAGGCAGAGAGGCAGGCAGAGAGAGAGAGGAGGAAGCAGGCTCCCTGCTGAGCAGAGAGCCCCATGCAGGGCTTGATCCCAGAACCCTGAGATCATGACCTGAGCCGAAGGCAGAGGCTTTAACCCACTGAGCCACCCAGGCGCCCTTTCAATATTTTTTATCTTTTGCTTCCACTCTTCTGTCTTTTCTGGGTTTGTTCTTATGACTAATTCTTATCCTGGTTCTGGATGACAGTTTTCTTTTTCACATGTCTAGTGATTTGTATTCGGATGCTGTGTATGTTGGCAGTTTTGCATTGCCGAGTATCAGTTTATTGTCTTCCTTTAAAAGCTTTGTCTGCCTTGCAGTTGGGGTAGGGACAGATAAGTTTGATCATTTCAGGGCTTGTGGTTTTTTTGTTTGTTTGTTTTAATTTGTTTTACGAGTGAGAGGGAGATGGAGCAGAGGAAGAGAAAGAAAATCACAAGCAGGCTTCATACCCAGCATGGATCCTGACATGGGGCTTGATCTCATGACCTGAGCCGAAATCAGGCGGGTTAACGGACTGAGCCACCCAGGTGTCCCTTTCAGGGCTTGTTTCTAAGCTTTGTTAAAGTGGAGTTAGAATAGCTTTAAGTTGAGGTACCCCGAGTCAGGCTCTATGCTGGGTGTGGAGCCCGCTACAGATGCTCTCGCTCTCCCTCTTTCCCACTACCCCCAGTCCTCACTCTCCAAAAAAAAAAAAAAAGGTCAGGGTTTCTTTTCTTTTTTAAAAATATTTTATTCTTAAAGATTTTTATTTTATTCTTTACAGCCAACATGGGGCTCGAACTGACAACCCCAGGATCAAGAGTCGCAGGCTCTGGATGCCTGGGTGGCTCAGTGGGTTAAGCCTCTGCCTTCAGCTCAGGTCATGATCCCCAGGTCCTGGGATCGAGCCCCACATCGGGCTCTCTGCTCAGCGGGGAGCCTGCTTCTGCCTCTCTCTGCCTGCCTCTCTGCCTACTTGTCATCTCTGTCAAATAAATAAATAAAATCTTTAAAAAAAAAGAATTTTGGGGGCACCTGGGTGGCTCAGTGGGTTAAAGCCTCTGCCTTCGGCTCAGGTCATGATCCCAGGGTCCTGGGATCAAGCCCTGCATTGGGCTCTCTGCGCAGCGGGGAGCCTGCTTCCTCCTCTCTCTCCACCTGCCTCTCTGCCTGCTTGTGATCTCTGTCAAATGAATAAAATCTTTAAAAAAAAAAAAAAAAGTCGCAGGCTCTGCATACTGTGAGCCATGTGCCCCTGTCAGGGTTTCTCAACGGTGACATTCTTGACATTTTGGGCCTGATAATTCCTTGCTGGGAGGAGCTGTCTGCTTACTACAGGATGTTTATCCCTGGCTTCTCACCAGTAGAAGCCAGTAGCACCGAGTACCCTTCACCACACCCCCCTCCCCCCAAGCCAGGCCCCGGTCATTTGAGCCAACCAAAAAGGTCTCCAGACATTGCCAAATGGCATGGGGGTGGGGGCAAAATCACCCTCCATTGAAAACCACTGTTCCAAGACGATGTTGGTCTCACTAGTACCAACATGGCTTTCATAGAGTCTCTCTGGGTTGCTGGCTGATAGGAACTAGAATGGTTCCCAGCCCTCTGTGAGCTCTGGAAATTGTTCAGTTTCTACCTAGATGGTATGGTCATCGTTTGCCTGGCTTTCTACAGTCTTGTCTTCTGTGTGTGTGAGTATATTCAGCAAGAGGCTTCAGGGGAGCCCTGGTCAGATTCCTGAAGCTCCTTTTCTTTCTTTCTTTTTTTTTTTTTTCTTTTTTTAGATTTTATTTATGCATTTGACAGAAACAGCGAGAGAGGGAACACAAGCGAGGGAGTGGAAGAGGGAGAAGCAGGCTCCTCATAGAGCAGAGAGCCTGATGCAGGGCTCGATCCCAGGGCCCTGGGATCATGACCTGAGCCGAAGGCAGACATTTAACGCCCAGGCGCCCCCTGAAGCCCCTTTTCTATGTAACATCCTCTCTGGTTCCCTCCCCTGTGAGTCCCAGCCACCTGCGCCCTTAACTCCACTTGCTGTCTCCTTACCTCAGCAAGACGCCACATTCTGCCAGACTTCCTGTTTCCCATAGCAGTCTGGAGAGCACCTACTGGCAGAAAGCCAGAGCAGTGCTAGGGGTCACTTTGTTTCTCTTCTTGCGGAACAAACTGTTTCCTCTTTTTTTTTTTTTTTAAGTTTTTATTTATTTGTTTGACAGAGATCACAAGTAGGCGGGGGAGTGGGAGGGCGGGCGGGGAGCAGACTCCCTGCCGAGGGGCTCGATCCCAGGACCCTGAGATCATGACCTGAGCCAAAGGCAGAGGCTTAAGCATTTGTGCCATCTGGTCATGTGGCAGAGACCTAGAAGGCAGTGGGGGTACCCACCCTTCTCGGGCTCCCCATCCTCCTGGGGCTCCCTGCCCTCCTCAGGCTCCCCCCGTAGCTCCTGCATTAGCACTCAGCATGCTAGCTACCAGGCTCTTCAAGAGTGTTTGTGAAGATTCAGTGGACCGTAAAGCATTGTTTATTTGAAGCAAATTGGACAATACATCATTTTAAGTTACTTAATTGGCTTAAAAATTATTCAGGAGGTAGAACTGGCAGGGCTTGATGACTGATTGGACGTAGGGTGACAGGGAGGAATCACGGATTCAGCTAAGGTTTGCTGCCTGTTCTGGGTGCGGGGCGTAGTTCTAGGCATTGGATGGGGTAAAATGCCCAGCAGGGCAGACAGGGCTGCTGCTCTCCTGGAGCTGGTGAATGATGGCCAGGTTTCAGGACCGTGTGACTGGTGGTGCTGTCCACTGAGGAGAGGCATGAGAGGGAGAAGCAGACATATAGGTGTGGGGTGCAGTTTGGGACAGTGTATTTATGTTTGAGTTTGGCATGATAGCAGAGAGGGTGGGCAGTGGCCGTTGGGAGGGTGGTCTCTGTGCCAGGAGACATGTTTCTTCTTGTCAGCTTCCTTTCATGACAGGGAGCACAGGGCTGCTTTGTAGAAAGTGGGCTCTGTAAGGGCCCATTCAGCCAGAGCGGCCCCACCCCGGTTGAACTGCTATTTTGTTGTAAAACTTAAATTGACTCTGCCCCCCCAGGGGAACTTATTTAAAAGCAAGTCAGGGAAACCAGTCCCAGGTAACAAAGTCCAAGTACAAGGGTGGGTCAGGCCAGGCGGAGGTATTCAATCAGTGGGGGCGCATGCTGTCTCCTAGCTACCAAGGAGTATGGGCCCCCGCCCTTTGGGAGCCTTTTGGCGCCAATCCTCACCAAGGTGTGATAGGCTGGTTCAAATGTCTACTAGGGTAAATTGTAATTCAGTTGGTCACCTAGCATCACTGTGGAGTTTCCTGTGTGTGTTACAGTCTCATTGGCCACCTGTGTGTGGCCAGGCCCAACCACATGGCCTTTGCTCTATAAAAGTTAGTCTGGAAAGCAGGGAGGGGTCGTCCTCTCTGGAGGGGCGGCCCCGACCGGTCTGTTTGTCGGTCTGATTCCTGATGCTTGGCGCGAAATAAAGCTTTGCTTGACCTTTGCTTTGTATCAGTCTCGCTCCTTTAATCACGGACCCATTATTGGGGTACCCAATTTTGGGGGGACCCAACAGTCAGCTCTTACCTTTGCTGTCCTAACCACCACCACTTGGAGCAGGTCTCATTACCCTTGTTGTACAGATGAGGTGACTGACAGCACTGAGGGTTCCGGGCCAGAAGGTGGGATCCCGGCTCGGGTCTCCATGACTATAGGTTCAGGCTCTCTGTACCGCACCCTCCTTTGAGCCTCCTTAATGCTTCTCTTTCCTTAAGTTGTCCTTGAAACTCATCTTCTCTGTAGGGAAGATGAGTGGGATTTGTCAGGTTGCAATTCGTGCAGCCTTAGGAGTGTTCACAGCTAATTCTCTGTGATGAATAGCCCCTTTCAAAGTTAATTTTGTCTCTTGGCTCATTAAAAATTAAAATTGTAGGGGCGCCTGGGTGGCTCAGTGGTTAATCCTCTGCCTTCGGCTCAGGTCATGGTCTCAGGGTCCTGGGATGGAGCCCCGCACATCCTGCTCTCTGCTCAGCAGGGAGCCTGCTTCCCTTCCTCTCTCTCTCTGCCTGCCTCTCTGCCTGCCTCTCTGCCTGCCTCTCTGCCTACTTGTGATCTCTGTCTCCGTGTCAAATAAATAAATAAAATCATAAAAAAAAATTTAAAATTAAAATTGTAGAAGTAACATTACATTACATTACAGAGGTTCAGGAAATAGAGTCAGCCAAAAGATCTCCCCTACTCCTACTATCCTAAACAACTATTACTTGGGGGCTCATCGTTTGGTAGCAAGAAACTTAATTTAGGGGGCTTTGGTGTAAGGAACCGGGGAATCCTGGATCTTGAAGTATCACTGGAATTACGCAGCCTCTCTAGCTTTGGTTTCCTCTCCCTCCGTGAAGCCTAGAAATATTTGAAGGACCAATGTTCAGTTTTGCTTTTGAATCATTTTTGCTAATATATTAATAGTTTAATTGTTAATTTGTATCTCTCCAGTTGCTAATAATAATGAAACGTTTTCCACATATTTGATTGATTAGTTTTTCTGTGATGAATTGTCTATTTGTATTTTTGCCTGGTTTTCTTTTTGGGTGTTTATAGTTTTCTTACTACTTCTGGGAGTCCCATGCAATATTAAACATACAGAAAAATTAAAAGAGTGGTATAACAAACACTGCATTCTCTTAACCAAGATTTACCAATTGGTAGTATTTTGATGTGTGTTTACCAGTGGTAGTATTTTGATGTGTGTATGTCTATCAAATTGGGTTTTTTGGTGAGCCATTAGAAAGTTTCATGACACTTCTAGATAACTTGAATGTATGGATGTACTTTCAGTGTAATGATCTGTTCACCTTTTATCTTTCATGTATTTGCGTCAGTATTTTTTCTCGTTGATCATTTGCTTCCAGCTCTGATTCCTTGTGTTTCTCAGATGGTGACATGCCATGCCGTGCCAATATCCTGATCACAGAGCTATTTGACACAGAATTGATCGGAGAAGGAGCACTGCCCTCCTATGAGCATGCGCACAGACATCTTGTGCAGGTAGGGACCTGGGGCGTCCCTCGGCTACATTGCTGTGCTCTCAGCTGGCTCACACAGGTCTCCTTGATGCCCCATGCTCTGCACAGCCTGAGCCCTCTGTACTTCACTGTACCCCCTAGGATACCCTTGATTCCTAGGAGACTCTGCTTCTCCTTAATTAGGACTTTTGGGTCTCTTACCAAGTCTTTGTAGGCTAGAGCTGAAAGGCAAGAAACCGTCTTCAACTTCAATTCAGTCAAGGTTCTTTAACTGTCACCTGTGTATAAAGCATTCTAGCATCCTGGGAGAAAAACAAGACATTCTTCCTGTTTCTAAGACCCACACTGGTCAGGGATGGTGCAGACTGGATGGGCCAGATGGAAAGGCCGACAGAAGCACCAGTAACATTTGTTCTAAGACTGGTAGATGAGGGCCAGGATGAGGAGATACGGGTATATAGAGAGAGGGTGAAACATGGAAAGGCCCTGAGGAGAGGGAGAGGTATCCCAGGTAGCAGACCTGTTCTCTGTGTCAGTGGGAAGACCCCTCAGGCAGGCTTGTGAGCTGATGGTGGAAAGTCAGAGAGAGGGTGGAAGGCCTTGAATGCCAAGCCCTCTCACCATTCCAGGCAGAAGAATTTAGATAGTGATAGTCTTTGGCAGTTTTTTGGAGAAGGGAGAGGCATGCTGACAGTGTTATCGGAGACATTTGTCTTCCTTTTTTATGGACATAAATGTCTCCAGAGGCAAAGGCCAGCTGGGAAGGTGTGAGTGTTTGCCACTTTTGCTGCCACCTGTATTGTGGGCACCATCTGGGCGAGCCTGCAGCTGCCTCAGTCTGGGGCCCTGTGTGGGGGTTCTTGGTGTGGCCAGAGTGAAGAATGTGGCTCCTTCCAGGGCAGTTGGGGCCACAGGCCACATTATTTACCCAGTGAGTGTGTGATGGTGATCACACTGTGAGATGTCTCCTTTTCTCCAAGATGGAAGATGTTTTTCTCGTAACTTTGGTAGTAATTATTTCTATTTCTCCACATTAAAGCCATGAACTAGATGAATCCCTAGAACAGAGAACACAAGGATATTTAAAATTACACTAGTGTTGCCCAATTGGCCTTTCTCGAATTCATCTAATAATTAAGAAGGTGTGCAGGCAGCTGTCTGCAGTTTCCTTTCTCAGCTGGTCTGCGTAGCCAGGTGTCCCTTGTCTGTTCTAATCACTGTCCTCATCTGCCCACCCTGTGTCTGAGCTGGAAAGAGTTATAGCTTTTCACAAAGGCTTCCATTGCCTGTCCCTTTTCCTGCCCTGTTGGAGGTCATGCAGCCAGGATGCTGTATGTCTGACAGTCCATGCGGTGGTGAGTGACCCAGTGATGGATCTAGGAGGTAAATTTATTGGGTGCCTTCATTTTGCTAGCCAGGGATATGAAGGTGTGCTCCCAGGCAGGCAGGTTGGTGAGCAGGCTGTCACAGTACAGTTGGAGGGTACGCTCCAATGGTGGTCAGTGGGGTGAGATCCTGCCCTCTGTGGTAGGGGAAGATGGGGAGCATCAAGGAAAATAAAGCTCCAGCAGAGTCAGTCTTGAAGAGTAATCAAGTGTTGGTGGGTCATACGGGGGCATTCTCAGTGGGGGAGGTCAGCATGCGCAAAGATGGGAAGGTGAGCTGGTGTGGTGGGAGTTGTTGGCGTTATGGGTAGTGTGGGAGGTGGGCTTAGAGCTGAGGATGGAGGGCTGGGCAGACTAGACTGAGATGGGCCACTGTGCAGTGTGGTGCCACAGGAGGATTGTAAGCAGGGGTTGATAACAGGTTCAGGCAGGCAGGCGGGCACATGGAGAGCATTTGGGATGCTAGATCAGGGGTGGGAAGACTGGTTAGAAGGTGGTTGGAGTCATTCAGGCTCTGGGGCTGAGGTGGGCCTCGGCTGAAACCAGAGAAATGGGCCTGGACAGGTAGCCTTGGGGAGGAGGGAGGTGGTCAAGGACTTGGTAATTACTTAGATGTGGAGGCATTGAGGATGCTGCCAGGGTTTGGGGCTTGGGAGATTGGATTGGATGGTGGTGCTCCTTATTGAATGGGAAGATGGGACGAGGACCGGGCTTGGGCAGGAGGGGAAGAGGTGAACGTGATTTGTTTGGTTTAGGCAGAGTTTGAGTTACCTGAGGGTCAGACAAATAAGAGAGGACCAAGAGGCTTTTGGCTGTGCGGTATTTGGTAAACGAAAACGGGCTGGCTGACATCCCTCACAGGAGAGTGTGTGGAGCGAGAGAGATGGGCCAGACCAGGTCTGTGGGGAGTTCTCTCTCTTTGAAGGATGGGTAGGGGAAGCACAGCCTTGTGAGGCAGCCAGAGGGGGAGAACAGTGTTTCTCATCCAGAGCCACGCATGGAGACGTTTCTGGTGTCACAATTGAGAGGGGGATGTTGTTGGCATCTTGTGGCTAGATGCCAGGGATGTTCGTGAACACCATATGATGCACGGAACAGCCCCACAGCAAAGGGTCATCTGACCGAAGAGGACTCTAGTATGGAGGCAGGGAAACCCCGTGCCTGTCATTTCCCTGCAGTGGCCGCTGTGAGTGTCCTCTTCATGGCTGGGTGCCTGCCGCCTGGTGCATAGAGGCTATCAGGTGAAGCATAGAGGTAGGAGGGAAACCAGATGAGTGACTGCAGCCAAAACCAAACAAGGGGAGTGGTTGGCGGTGCCTGGTGAGGCCAGGAGGTCAGGTCATCCGAGGGTGGACACTTACCCATTGTGCTGTGCGGTAAAAAGGTTCTGGGTCTGGGTGAGAGCTGCGCTGAAGAGAACTCGGAGCCCAGTGCCAGCATCACTGCTTAGCAGACTTGGACTCTGTGCAGAGTTGGTTTGGGAGTTAATGAGCATGATGACAATTAAGGATTATTTTTGAAGTATTTGAGAGTGTCATGTAGTTGGGAACTTAACCTGACATAAATCATTTTAGGCATAATGTGTATTCTTTTCGAAATCTGGTTCTTTTTTTTTTGCTTCCCCAAGGACATTAGTCTAAGAACAGTTCACCATCCTCATAGTGAGTGGGAAGGCATTGGATGCTACTCAGCCGACCTGATATTAAGGAACAAGCCTCTTGATCAGTGAGAATTGCTGTGGGTTTGTTTTATAATACATCTACCGGTTTATTGTTCTCTTCTTTTGTTTTTGTAACATACACTTAGGAAAACTGTGAAGCCGTGCCTCACAGGGCGACTGTCTATGCGCAGCTGGTGGAGTCCAGGAGGATGTGGTCGTGGAATAAGCTCTTTCCTGTCCGCGTTCAGACTGGCCACGGAGAGCAGGTCATCGTTCCCCCCTTGGAACTGGAGAGGTGCCCCGGTGCCCCGTCTGTCTATGACATTCAGCTGAACCAGGTGTCGCTCACTGACTTCACTGCCCTCAGTGATGTGATGCCCATGTTCAGGTACCAAGGAGCCGGCCCAGCCAGTGGTGCTTTGAGATAATTTGGTGGAATTGGGGGCTTTAGAAGTTCTTCATGAATGAGAAGGAAATCTAGCTGAGGTCACCTTCTGAAGGCAGGAGTCCGTTGCAAACAAGTCTCATTGCTGGCGATGTCACCGTAAAAGCTTAAAAATGGAGGATGTGAGCTTTAAATATGCTTAAGTTCCTGCATATTCTTCCACAGTGTGGACTTTAGCAAGCAAGTCGGTAGCTCAGCGGCCTGCCACAGCCGACAGTTTGAACCTCTGGCATCGGGCCGAGCTCAGGTGGTTCTCTCCTGGTGGGACATTGAAATGGACCCTGAGGGGACGATCAAGTGCACCATGGCCCCCTTCTGGGCACACTCAGACCCAGAGGAGCTCCAGGTAAGAAGAGGCAGGAGTTGAGCACGTTTTCATGTAAATGAGGAAACTTGTCTGCTTTTGGTTGTGGGAAAGTAGCATGTTGAACCTTAGATTCACAGGAATTTAGAGACAGGAGGACTGTGTCAGGATTTTTTTTTTAAGATTTTATTTATTTATATGACAGAACGAGAGAGAGAGCGCGAGAGTGTGTGTGCGCACGCGTGCACACGAGGGCACGAGCAGGTGAGCGGCAGGCAGAGGGAGGGGGAGAAGCAGGCTCCCCGCTGAGTGTGGAGAGAGGGAGAGAGACAGACAGACACACACACACACGCACACACACCCGCCCCCACCATGGCCCTGAGATCATGGCCTGAGCCGAAGCCAAGAGTTGGCCCCTTGACTGAGCCACCCAGGTACCAGTCAGAGAAGAGTTAAAACAACAACAGCAGCAAAAAGGCAAGGGAACCCATGGTAAGCTAGAAAACAGACCTCTGAGTCTGCTGAGTTCATGGGTGGCAGCAGCAGACACGGGGCCGCAGTGGGGTGCTGGCTCAGAGCCCCCACCCCCAGCCCCCATGGAACCCCAGGGCCTCAGCTCAGCTTGGAATGGAGGACTGTGGTCTGTCTGCAGCCTCGTTTTCTGTGCCCTCAAAATCTTGTGTAGCTTAATAGAAAGTGGGCAGAGGATGTAAACTACAGAAAAGGAAGTGCATGGTTTTAACATGAAATGAAAAGCTTTTAAGCCTCACTTGTACGAGCAGTGCAGATGTAAACTGCAGTTAGACCTTTATTTTCTACCTGTTAGTGTTAAAGTTCAGAAAGGTTGGTGACGCACTCTGGGTAGGTGCTGTGGGGAAAGGCAGGCCCATGAATGTCTGAGCTTCTGTGGAGTGTGGGGAGACCCTGTCTGTCCCTGTGGGAAGGGACACCACTTCTAGACATTTAGGCTCTGGGTAAAGTTGCATAGGCGTATAATGATGTGTGTGCCAGGATACTCACTACAGCCCTGACTTAATGAAAAAGGACCAGAACACCCTAGAAGCCCGCAGTAGGGGACTGGCTAAGTCTGTTGTCCTATATCTATTTAGAGGGTGAGGCAGGTCCCTGAGCACTGCTGGAGAACAGTCTCCAGGACAGTCATTAAATAAACACAAATAAGAGGTGCAGAACAGTGTGTGGCGTGCCAGCATTCGTGTTATTTAAGATGAGAATATATATGTTTATGACTTTACGTGTGTGTTGGGTGTGTGCGAGAGTATATTTGGAAGAATTTTAGAAGTTGGTAAAAGTAGTCGCTTCTGGGAAGGGGGCTGGAGGTTAGGGGTGGAAAGGAAACAACTTTTCACTCCATGACCGTTTTATATATTTTGAATTTTCTCTGACGTGCATGTATTGTCTACCCTCTATACACACACTCAAAGTTGGGGGGAAAGTGGGAAAGCCACTTCAGTGCTGAGAAGCCAAACCTTCCTTGAGGGGGCAGAAGGCGGAAGGACAGGCATTCCTGCTGTCCTAAAGCCAACGGAAGGAAAAATAAATGATTAACTAATAGAGATCGCGGACCTGAGTCTCCCTCAGTTTACAAAATGTCTTAGTGATTTATAAGAAAAAAGCATTCTTTCTTTTTTTTTTTTAATATTTTATTTATTTATTTGACAGACAGAGATCACAAGTAGGCAGAGAGGCAGACAGAGAGAGAGAGAGGAGAAAGCAGGCTCCCTGCCAAGCAGAGAGCCCGATGCGGGACTCGATCCCAGGACCCTGAGATCATGACCTGAGCCGAAGGCAGAGGCTTACTAACCCACTGAGCCACCCAGGTGCCCAGAAAAAAGCATTCTTATCAATAAAGCATTCTTATCAATAACCCAAATTCCAGCAGGAGACTCCCAGCTGTCTTAATGCTTTACTAGAGGAACAACAACCTTAACTTGACAATGCCGAGGTCTCCAGTATCTTGGAGGGTCCTCTTAGGATATGAAAATCCTTTTGAAACTTCCCTTTTCCTTACCTCCCCCAACTCCCAGGTATATAATCAGCCACCCCGCACCATCCTGGTGCCGCTCTTTCTGCCCACGGCTTCTTTCGGCATGCTTTCATAAAAACACCATTTTGCACCAAAGACGGCTCAAGAATTCTTGCTTGGCCGTTGGCTCCAGACCCTACAACTTCACCAGCATTTCCATGAAAACCATCCCTTCTCTACCTCGTAGGCTCTGCGCACCGTTCTGTCTGTGTTCTGTTGTTACCGTTTGCTGGGCACTGGGTTTATCTCGATTGCTGGCCTGTTAGTCCTGGGTGTACATAGGGTGACACCCGGGGACGGCCTGTGCTGCTCCCCTGCTCCCAGAGCTAGTGCTTAGGCCAAAGGGTCACGACTGCTGCAGGATTGCAGATGACCCCCCCCCACCCCTGGGCCTGTGAGGTCCCCCATCTCCAGTCTACCCTTCAGCTGCCTGGCCCTGGGTGGGCATGCCTCCAAGCAGTGCATATGAACTTCTCTGTGCACAGCCTGGTCTGTAGGCTGAGCGTGAGTTTGGAGGCGGGAGGGGGCTGGTCAGAACTCACCCACAGAATTGAGATAGACACTGGGCTGCTGGCTTCCTCTCCAGGAATGTGAAGGATGTAAAATTAACATAAGAATGTTAAATGCTAATACTTCCATTTGCATATCTTCACAGTGCTGCCCGCGTGGTTTAGGAATACAGGGTGAGATTCAGTGGGGTGAGGTCCAGAACCCCTGACCGAGAAATAATTCTTGAGACGTCTTTGGTGCAAAAAGGTAGTTTTATTAAAGCAAGGTGACAAGATCGGTGGGAAAAAGAGCTGCTGCCTCAGGGTCTTGAGGAGCGGTGATGAAATACTTGGGAGTTGGGGGAAGTTAAGGAAAAAGGACGGTTCAAAAGAACTTTAATATGCTAAAAAGAACCTACCTACGAGATACCAGAGGCTCTGTGGTCGCCATGTTAAGGTTTCCCATTTTAGCAAAGTGGTGTTCTCTCTAGCAAAGTGTTAGCGCTAGGACAGTAGGGAGACTCCTGGCAGCTGCGGGCTGAGCTTATGTTTTGTCTCCAGCTGGCCTTCTCCCTCATCACTACTGTGTATCTTCTTATTCCTTCAGTCCTCATACGAGACATGCTGGGCGACCACAGAGTGCCCAAACTGAGACCGAGGCACGACCCAGCCTTTGGAGCAGGGCCTTGGGTCTAGGCCACAGTGGTTGGTGCTTGTCTCCTGACTGGGGTTTGCGTCCTTGCTTTACCAGAAGTGATTTAATGGACTGTTAAAAATTTGAAGAGCCGCAGTGGATCTCTCTCATAACTTCACTGAGCTGCTCTTGCTCTGAAATATATTCTATGCCAAGGGCCAGTGGGTTCAGTCAGCAGCCCTCAATTTAGCGTTAGGACCTGGGAAGGCTGGCGTGTGAGGACGGGATGGTCACGGAACTCAGGGAACCATAATCCAGGAGGGGTTGGGGAAGGCTTCTCTTGTCTTTGGGTCAGTTTGCATAGTAAGAAAAAGAACAGGTTTTAGAGAATCAATTTTTTTTCCTTGTTAGCATTTACTTACTCTATATCTTGTCTAGTTACATTGTCATTTTTTTTTTTTTTTTTTAAAGATTTTATTTATTTATTTGACAGAGAGAGATCACAAGTAGACAGAGAGGCAGGCAGAGAGAGAGGAGGAAGCAGGCTCCCTGCTGAGCAGAGAGCCCGATGCGGGACTCGATCCCAGGACCCTGAGATCATGACCTGAGCCGAAGGCAGCAGCTTAACCCACTGAGCCACCCAGGCGCCCTACATTGTCATTTTTTAACTGTTATGTTCAAATAGACATTTTAGACACCTAGAAATGTCATTCACCTGCCTTTTGGTTAAATTCAGATCTGGATAGGCAGAATGCAAGTTCCTGAAAAGTAGGGCTGGTGTCAGCTCTCTTTGCGTCTGCCCACAGTGCTTTGGGAGTCTCCCAGGGACCAAGTTTTTCTTAATTTCGGCTGGTAACAGAGAACGAACACACACTCGTCTCATCAGAATTGAGCCAGGCATCCACTTTTTAGGATGGTTCTTTGTTTTTTAAAAAGAGGGTCTAAAAAAAATAAAAGGGGCTTAAAGATTATGAGAGTAATAACCCTCCTTGTGTAAAATAAAAAGGAGACCAAAATCACTCAGGGTCCTGTCACTGCAGAGAGCTCCCTTTTGATCTCTTTCCACATGCATGAGATTGTGGCGCTAGTTTCTGTTTTCATGCTACACGGAGTCTGCAGTTACCATCTTCAGTGCCTTCTCCTATTCTGTATAAGGACTTGTAGATCCATTTCTGAGCCGCTGCACCTTTGGGTCGGTGCCAGTTTTTGCTAGTCTGGATCTGTAATAAGAGCGTTCATGTGAATATAGCTTTTTTCCTTTAGTTTAGTTTTTCTTTACCTTTTTTTTTAAACTTTTCTTTTTCAGTGTTCCAAGATTGATTGTTTATGCACCACGCCCAGTGCTCCATGCACTACATGTCCTCCTTAATACCTACCACCAGGCCCTCCCAACCAACTCCACCCCCAGAATCCTCAGTTTGTTTCTCAGCGTCCACAGTCTCTCATGGTTTGTCTCCCCCTCCGATTTCCCCCAGCTCCCTTCCCCTTTCCTTCACCCAATGTCCTCTGTGTTACTCCTTATGCTTCACAAGTAAGTGAAACCACATGACAGTTGACTTCTCTGCTTGACTTAACTGCACTCAGCATAATCTCCTCCAGTCTCCTTTGGTTTTTCTTGTCAAAGAATTCTGTATACAGGGTTTGTAGTGTCAAAAAGGATGAACGCAGCTTATTAAAAGTTGAATCTGGATCATCGTAAACTGTTTAGAATTTAAAGTAATTTAGGGTAATACTAAATTTAGAGTATTCCAGGTCTTTAAAAACTATTTCATATTATTTTATTTTTATTTATTTATTTATTTTTTAAATAAATGCACTGTACTAGGTGTGGAGCTCAACACAGGGCTTGAACTCATGACCCTGAGATTGCGAGTTGGAGTCTTACCCAGTGAGCCACCCAGGCTCCCCTAAAAATTTTAATTCAAAAGAATAAACAGAACAAGACCTTTCTGTACTATTTTCCCAACTTTTTATGTGGAAAAATTCTAAATCGACAGAATAAATGAAAATAAATACTGATACGCCCTTTACATAAATTTCCCAGTTGTTCACATTTGATATGTTTCTCTCTTCCCCATCTTCCCTCTCTGCTTCCCTTCTTCATTGCCTACACACACACACACACACACACACACACACACACACACGAGGTGGAGGCATGCATATGTACACAGGCACACACATGGGGTGAAGGCTGGAGTCCCCTGTCCTGAACCCCCCTTGCTTCCTTCTAAAGCCAGCAGCAGTCTAGCAAGCTTTCTGGCCATGAGCCACTCACTGAGAATTTTCCTCTCTATCTCTTTGGCAAGAGTAGGCATCGTAGTCCACAGCATGGTCTCCCTGCAGGCGGGTTTGGGCTTGGATTTTGACTCCTGGATTAGAAACATTGCCCTTTCTGCAGCTTGGGGACGGTTGATTCTCCATTCCCTGTTTCAGTGGCGGGACCACTGGATGCAGTGTGTGTACTTCCTGCCACAAGAAGAGCCTGTTGTCCAAGGCTCAAGCCTCTTCCTGCTAGCCCACCACGACGACTACTGTGTATGGTACAGCCTTCAGAAGACCAGGTATGCCCTGTGTCTTGTGGGCGGGGCGGGGGGGGTGTGCTCTGGGCCAGCGACTCTGTGCACTTCTGAAAGTTCACCTTAGAAACCCTGTAGAGGCATGAGTGGGCAAGTTTGTGTCTGAACAGAGTGAGAGTAAGAAATAAGAGTGAAAGTTTTGTGACTGGCTCTGTTAGTGCCCATTGTCACGTACTTAGAAGAGGCTGCCCGGGTTGCAGGGCCCCATTTGGAAGAGACCTAGATGAGAAGACTTGAATTGGAGGGTCCTCTAACCGCTAATGCCCCTTTGCAAGCCTGTTCCTAGACTCATGCCCTCTAGAGGTTGGGGCTGTGCCCACCACCTTTACTGGGCAGATCCCTGAGCCATGCCTTCATGCCTGCCAGTGCCTAGCATGTCATGCTCATCATGTGTGTCTGTCTGTTCATTTCCTGGCCTAGTCCCGAAAAAAACGGGAGAGTCTCCCCACCACGCCCCGTGTGCGACTGCCAAGCTCATCTGCTCTGGACCCGGCCTCGGTTTGGAGAGATCAATGATCAGGACAGAACTGAACGATACATCCAGGCCCTGAGAGCGGTCAGTGTGCAGCCCCTTGGGTGGTTAGAGGCAAGAGGGAGTTGGTCCCATGGGCCCGGCTCATTGTTTACTTATAGTTGGTTGGTTTTGATTTCTGTGCTTCCTGGTCTTGGGTGGCTTCTGGGTGGGCCCTCAGGTAGTGAGCCAGGGAGCGTGTTACCAGGCTTGTTCTCTGCTCTCCTGTGAGAGCCTCTGCCTGGGACCCTTACCCCGTCTCTGCTTGTCCCTCTAAACATGTTGCCTTTGTGGTCACTAGCAGTTGCTGTGGGTGATCCCAGTGGATTCAGCAACCCCCTCCTTCCTTTCATCTGCCTCCTTTCTAAAATTTTCTAGGGGCACCTGGGTGGCTCAGTTATTAAGCGTCTGCCTTTGGTTCAGGTCATGATCTTGGGGTCCTGGGATCAAGCCCCACGTTGGGCTCCCTGTTCTATGGGAAGCCTGTTTCTCCCTCTCCCCCTGCTTGTGTTCCCTCTTTTGCTCTCTCTCTGTCAAATAAATAAATAAAATCTTCAGAAAATAATAATAATAAAAAATAAAAATAAGGGCACCTGGGTGGCTCAGTGGGTTAAAGCCTCTGCCTTTGGCTCAGGTCGTGATCTCAGGGTCCTGGGATGGAGTCCGCATCAGGCTCTCTGCTCAGCGGGGAGCCTGCTTCCCTTCCTCTCTCTCTGCCTGCCTCGGCCTACTTGTGATCGCTCTCTGCCAAATAAATAAAAAACATCTTTAAAAAATAAAAATAAAAATAAATAAAAATTTTTTTTTAAGATTTTATTTATTTGACAGAGATCACAAGTGGGCAGAGAGAGGAGGAAGCAGGCTCCCTGCTAAGCAGAGAGTCCGATGTGGGGCTTGATCCCAGGACCCTGGGATCATGACCTGAGCCGAAGGCAGAGGCTTTAACCCACTGAGCCACCCAGGCACCCCAATAAAATTTTCTGAAATATATAGCTGGTTAGGGGCGCCTGGGTGGCTCAGTTGGTTAAGCGACTACCTTCAGCTCAGGTCATGTTCCTGGAGTCCCAGGACTGAATCCCGCATTGGGCTCCCTGCAGAGCAGGGAGTCTACTTCTCCCTTTGAGGGCTCCCCCTCCCTGGCTCACTCTCTCATTCTCCCACTCATCCTCTCTCTCTCAAATAAATACAATCTTTAAATATATATATACATATATATATACACACATATATATATATATGTATGTATGTGTGTATGAATGAATGAATGAATCTGGTTATATAACTCTCCTGCCTAAAAACATTTGTTCCCTGCTGCCTGTAGCTGTGGTCTCTTAGGCCAGGACTACACACAGGCTTTGGAGGGGAGTCTCTTGGGCCTCTTGGAGTTGTATGCAAAAATATGTGTGCACATATGCAAATGGATGCATTTTTGCAGGAGGGGGATCCAGACTGTCTTAAGTTTCTCTCCAAGGGTTCTGCTACCTGTAAAGGAATCGCTCCCTTTGGCGAGTCACTTGAGGGACCCACAGCTGTCTGTGCTGTGACCAGAAAGGGAAGAGACTGGGAGGTGGCCCCAGCAAGTGGAGCAGGTCTTCAGCTGGGCCTTGTAGGAAAGCTTGAGGAGAGTCTTTCCTAACAGTGAGGTCTGGGTGGGGAGAGGTGGGTGAGGTAGGTACATTGGAAGGCGGGGGCTGCTACTGCTTGGCAAGCCTGACTGTGGGGACCCAAGAAGATCCAGCTGGGTGTTGAGAAATTCAACAAGAATTTCTTGACCTACCGTAAGAAAACCTGTGTTGAGGTGGTTCTTCTCCCACAGGTGCTGAAGCCGGACAGCGTGTGCCTTTGTGTCAGTGATGGCAGTCTGCTGTCCTTGCTGGCCCATCACCTTGGGGCAGAGCAGGTACCGGACAGGCGCCATTCTGCCAGCTTTCCGAAGGTGGCTCTTGAGTTTGAATGTCACGTGGTCTGGGTACATAGTTCTGTGACTCAGGCTCTTTGCAGAGCACAGCTGCCGTGGACGCGGGGACTTTGGGGTTGATCGCCTTGGTGTGCAGGCAGGAGTGAGGCTGTAGCTGTTCCCATAGAGCTGCAGTTCCTGTGTCAGAGTCTGCACCTTGTAAGGGTCAGTGAGGCAAAGGGGAGTGGTGCAGGGGCGGCTGGGTGGCTCAGTCCGTGAAGTGTCTGCCTTCTGCTCAGGTCATGATCCTAGGGTCCTGGGATCAAGCCTCCCTGCTCAGTGGGGTGTCTGCTTCTCCCTCTCCCTCTGTCTCGCCCCCCTCCCCCGCTCTCGCACACACACACACACTCTCTCTCTCTCTCAAATGAAGTCTTTGTAGGGAGAAAAGGGGATGCTGTCCCCATGGGTAATGAGCACAGGTAGACTTCGTTAGGTGGTACCTTCTGCCTTGGAATGATCTTGTTGATGTTTGATCTTTAATTTCTTTTTCTCTCAAGTGAATCTCCTACAACTAAGGGCATGGTATTCTCTTTAGGTATTTACAGTAGAGAGCTCAGCAGCTTCGCACAGACTGATGAAAAAAGTAAGTGATAATGGTCGTTGCTGAAATAATGAGGGGACCGGGTGGGGGCCTGCCTTCCTACGTCTGGGATTGATGGCTTTGATGCTGAGTTGGCATTAAGGGAGCTAGTGAGAACCCCCTCCATCTTGAGAGCTGGCTCAGAAATCTGGGCTGTCCCTGGATAGTAGCAAACAGACTCTGCTTTGTGTTTTGTGTTTTTTTCTCCTCACTTCACATAAAACTAACAAAACTAAAATCTTTGCAGTGATACAGCTGAGCTTATGATTCGTTTTGCCACCCGGTGCCCAGAGAGTCACTGCTCACAAGCTGACCTGACTAGTTGGTCCTGTGACCCTTATTTCTCCCCCAGGTGATTGGCTTTGATTTCTTCTTCTCTGAAGGAAACTCCCAGAACCATAAACCTGTTGCTGAGTCTTGCTTACATGCCTGCAAGAGAAATTTGTTTTGCTATTACAACATTTTGCTAGTGATCTCATCCTTGGGGCATTGGATGCCCCTGGAGGAGAGAATTTCCACAAAGCAGATGAAAGTGGTCCTCTAGAACTGTTTGGCCAGAAAACTGCGAACAGACAAGGCAGCTCTGAGGGGTTGGTTTTTCCTGGACAAAAAGAGTACTTTCATTTTTTTTCTTGTTAAGATTTTCAAGGCTAACCATGTGGAAGATAAAGTTCATATAATAGAGAAACGGCCTGAGTTGTTAACGTCTGCAGACTTGGAGGGTGAAAAGGTGAGTGTCGATGGCTCTGTCTTTGCCTGGAGGGCACAGCACTGCGCCGGTCTCTGAGCGCCCCCTTCTAGCGGCTGCAGGGGGGCTCCCACCCCTGACTTGGCTGCTCTCAACTCTAGCTGATCTCTGCTGCTTCTGAGGGAGGGCACAGTGGCTGTCTTGGGATGAACAGCTGCGTGTTGTGGCCTCTCTGCCGTCCCCCTTCCCAGCGCTCCAGCTCCACTTGCTCCCATGTTTTGGTTCGCCTTTCTGCCTACTTCCTGCCACGGCTGCGGTTGATCTTCTGATCGTCTGTCCCCCATGGTAGTTGGTCTTATGACCACCCCACCCCACCCAGTGTGCCTCTGAAACTACTCCCACCCCTTAGTGACCTGAGAAATCAAACATAGTCTTCCCATACATTTCCTCTCACCAGCCTCCTGGACCCTCATGACCCAGAGGCCTTCTTAACACATTTCTTTTTAGGTCCATAAGAGACTGCTTTTTTTAGGGGCACCTGGGTGGCTCAGTCGGTTGAGCATCTGACTGTTGATTTTGGCTCTGGTCATGATCTCAGGGTCCTGGGGTCGAGTCACCCTCGTGGAGAGTCCTTAAGGTTCTTTCTCTCCCTCTGCCCCTCCCCCTGCTTGCATGAGCTCTATCTTTCTCTCAAATAAATAAAATCTTTAAAGGAGAGAGAGACTGCTTTTTCCAGGTTTTTATCTTTCTAGCTGCTCTTTCTCAGCTTCTCATGGGTTTCTGCTCCTTTACCCGATCCTTCCTGTAGCAGTGTTTCTTGGTACTTTCTCCTTGTCTTTTCTGTCTCTCTTTGTCTCTTCTCTGGGTGATCATGTCCTTTCCCATAAGGGAATCTTTGGCCGCCAAAGCTGGGACTGCAGATCTCTTATGTCCAAGCACCAACCGTTTAGCTTTCCTTACATATCCGCAGGCCCTTCAAGCTGAATCAATCATCTTTCTTTGCCAACTTTTTTTTTTTTTTGACAGCTTTGCTGAGAATTGACATGCCATAAAATTAACCCATTTCAAGTGTGCAATTCAGTGATTTTTTGTAAATTTGTATAATTATACAGCTTTCACAAATTTTAGTTTTAGAGCATTTCTGTCACCTAGCCCCTAGACCCAGGAAAGCACTGATCTGGTTTCTGTCTATAAATTAGTGTTTTCTGGGCATTTCATATAAGTGGAATAAAACGACGTGTGAACTTTAGTGTTGGGCTTCTTTCACTGGTCATGCCTTTGAGGTTCGTCCATTTGTAGAACATGCTGGCATTTTGTTCCTTCTCAGTGCTAAATAGTATGCTGTGCGCACGTTGTTTCTCTGCTCACCTCTTGGTGGGTGTTTGGATTGTTTCAAAAACGACTTTTGGCCTTTAAAATAATGCTGCTGTGAACTTTTTTTTTTTTAAGATTTTATTTATTTGTTTGACAGAGATCACAAGTAGGCAGAGAGGCAGGCAGAGAGAGACAGGGAAGCAGGCTCCCCGCTGAGCAGAGAGCTCGATGTGGGGCTCGATCCCAGGACCCTGGGACCATGACCCGAGCTGAAGGCAGAGGCTTTAACCCACTGAGCCACCCAGGCGCCCCCAGAGGGCTCTTTCTAAAACACATTTCCTCTTGGGCACCTGGGTGGCTCAGTTGGTTGAGCCAACTCGATGGGGAGTCTGCTTCTCCCTCTGACCCATCCCTGTCCCATGCTCTCTATTTCACTCACTCTTTCAAATAAAAAAATCTTTGAACAAAATACATCTCTTCTCATTTTGAACCCCTGAGGAAGGCATTTAGAGATCTCTTATCTCTAGGAAAGAGTCCAGTGCCCTTGACCTGTCATCAGCTGCCTTTGGGCTACAGGGCTCCTCTCCATTTCTCCGGCCTCACCCTTTGCTGATCCTACTGTGTTTGCTCATGTAACAAGCTCCTGAAGGGCCTTGCCCCTGCATCCTTCTGCTAGCGTCCCCGGTCTTGTGCTTTTCTGACTCCTAGTCATGTTTGTTCATTAACTTGGCAAACATTTACTGACCATTTGCTCAGGGCCAGGCACTTTGTAGGGTGCTGGGGTACTGTGCTGCTGACGTCCCCACTGCTCAGAACCTAGCAGGGAAGCCTGATAGAGGAGCACTGATAACCATCTGTCATGATGAGCTGTGAGTGGGGACCTACTAACAGGATGCCATTCAGCCCTTCTGATGCTGTTCCTTCTGGGGTCCCTCCACATGTCCCTTCCTCGCCTTTGACTGTCAACAGCTTACCATGCTGTACAAGGATGGCCCCAGCTCTGTCTGTTCCCTTTACCCCTCTGTGCTCCCGAGGGCGAGGCTCAGGTCTGCTTCTCATCTTTGTGTCCTTCAGGGCAGGTGCAGACCCGGCGTGCTCACTGGTTGCCCGAGTGAGTGAATGAGTACCTTTTTATTTCCATGTTTCCCATGACACTTGTAACCTGCCTTCACTCTTTAGCTAGATCATTCTGACACCTCGGTCCTGCTTCTTGCTCTGGTTGCCAGGTCTCTGTCCTCGTGGGGGAGCCCTTCTTCACCACCAGCCTGCTGCCGTGGCACAACCTCTATTTCTGGTATGTGCGGACCGCCGTGGACCAGCATCTGGGACCTAGTGCTGTGGTGCTGCCCCAGGCCGCCTCGCTGCACGCTGTGGTTGTGGAGTTCAGGGTAGGCCACCCAGAAGTTGTTGCAGAAGGGGTGGGAGGTGGGGGTCCTGGTTTTCTTGCAGAGACCTTGGGTGCAGATGGAACAGTGTGAATCCTAACGATAGGAGGCTCTGCTTTTCTGTGTCAGCACACTGCAGGGTTGTATGGGAAAGGCTTGCCTTTGTACAAATGCAGTAATTTGGCATATGAAATGGAAATGGCTGTGTGTTGTCATTTTACAATTATCCCTTATCAGAATAATTAAAAAGCATAAGTGAAGAGTTTCAGAAGACATGCTGTTTGGCTCGCTTTGCTAAGAGCTGACGCTCCAGTTGTTAAAAGCATTTTGAGATGTAAAGTCAGCTTCTTTATGCAAGAAAAAATTGAAAAGCTTCATTTTAATTTTCTCATCAAAGCAGAACCAGTCACAAAGTCGTTTTGGGAAAGGCATTTCTTCTTAAAAGGATTTTGAAATGCTTTCAACCTTAGAAGTAGAGTGAACCTCCTTTGATATTTCTTTGATAAGAGCAGCTTCATCCATTGGCAGCTCAGTGGCTCTGTGGCTTATTTTCTGGGCATTTCTTCCGTGTTGTTTATTTACCTGATGAGATTTCCATGGGAGTTCTGGCTTTTAAGGCCTAGGAGGGAATATGGGAATGGGACGAAGAATTGGTGGGCCTTTGTGCACTTCTGGTCCCCTCCCTCCCATTGTCCTCGTGCCCTGATCATAGGTGCAAAGTCTCAGGAACTAGTTTACAGACTTCTTCCCAAAGAAACCCCATCCCAGTGGCTCTGGCCGATTGTCCACCTTTGGGAGAGGACTTGGGGGTCACGTGAGACTTGGCAGATTTGAGCGACCATCCTGGATCCTTGATCATCTCTCAGCCCTGTCAACCTGGGGCTCTCTTCCAAGTGTGGGGGAACATGGTGTGCCTCAGGGTTCGGGCCGGGCCACCCCCAGCCCGACTTCACTGACGCTTCCTGCTCTTGTCATTATGTTTGCATGCCTGTGGGTGGGTGCGGGAGCTGGTGTGCTGTCCTACGGAACCTGTGATGTCCGTCTCCGACTGAGTGTCAACAAGGGCTGTGCCTTCCTTATAGGACCTGTGGAGGATCCGGAGTCCCTGTGGTAACTGTGAAGGCTTTGATGTGCACATCATGGATGATATGATTAAGGTCGGTGGGGCCCCACTTCCTCCCTGCAGTGTTCTATCCACCCGCTCCATGTGGCCACGGCGTCCTGTCCTTCGCACTTGGCCTTCCTTTACACAGTGCAAGTGGGCCTGTGGATCCTGAGTCTGGCCCCGTTTCATACCCCGCCCATTACCCCTGCCCCTTGGGCTGCACCCTGCTCAGCTTTACACACTCTCCTTGCTACCAGCTCGTATGTGACCTTCAGGCGGCAGCTCAGAGATCACCTGCGGGCAGCGTTCCTGCCTGGCCCCATTCTCAGCTGAAGGCTAGTGTCCCTGGGCACTGTGACTCCTGTCTCGAGCCTCTGCACTGGGAGCCTCATGTAAGGATGACCTGGCAGCTGTAGTGCTCAGGAAGGGTCCCCGAATGGGCACGTGTCCAAGTGCCAGATGTTGCTTTGTTTTGTTTTGTTTTGACCACTGCAGACATTTGGCTCTCAGAGTAGCTAAGGAGACCGGCCGAGTCATCCCATCTTTTTTTTTTTTTTTTTTTTTTTTTAAAGATTTTATTTATTTATTTGACAGAGAGAGAGCTCACAAGTAGACAGAGGCAGGCAGAGAGAGAGGAGGGGAAGCAGGCTCCCTGCTGAGCAGAGAGCCCGATGCGGGGCACGATCCCAAGACCCTGGGATCATGACCTGAGCCGAAGGCAGAGGCCTTAACCCACTGAGCCACCCAGGCGCCCCCGAGTCATCCCATCTTAAAAGGGAGATGATGAGGCTTTGGCGAAGAGGCTCGCTGCAGAGACACTTGAGTGCCGTAGTGGGGAGGGAGAAGGCAGCTGGTCTGCTCCAGTTGCCTGTGGTCTTTCTGTGAGGACCCACTGTCCCAGGCGACTGCGGCAGTTATTCTGAGGGACCTGGGCCAAAGGGGTGAAGGACCACGGGCCTAGACCTTGGAGACTGGACATGAGCCCCTCATCCCTAGGCTGTCGGCTCTGTCTTTGTTTCTGCACACCCTCACCTCCCCTTAACCTTCTCAGCGTGCCCTGGACTTCAGGGAGAGCAAGGAGGCCGAGCCCCACCCGCTGTGGGAGTACCCATGCCGCTGCTTGTCCGAGCCCCAGCAGATCCTGACCTTTGATTTTCGGCACCCAGTCCCCCCACATCCGCTCCGTGCTGAGGGCTCCATCGAGCTGAGGAGGTGAGAACAGGTTCCAGGGTGCAGCAGGTGGGGAAGAGAGGGTGGGGACTGCTTTCAGTCTAGTTACTGCTCTGGTGGCTAAGCACTTACTTCCGTGGCTTTCACGTGGGTGGGATGGCCTCCTTATCTGGGCCTTGCCCTTCCCGGTCCGAAGTGGCCCTGAGTCTGTGGCGGGTCCCCACAGCCCCTGGGTGTGTGCAGGTGGAGAGGGAGAGCCAGAGTGGGCTTTGCACACCCCCCCCCACATCTGCAGCGCCTGTTGAGCTCAGCGGCATGAGAATCAGAGCTGTAGAGAAATGTGATTTTTTGGTTGCTATGGTTACTCATTGGGCCATTTTTCTGGAACTCTGCTGGGAACTAAAGCGGCTTAGGAATTGGTAAGGGCTGCTCATTGTGAGGCACAGTTGGGCCATCCAGCTCCAGCGCCCCTCACAGGGAGGAGCTGCTGCTTCCCTGAGGAAACACTCTGGCCCCATGGTTCCTCTAAGTGCTTGACCAGGGTACAGGGAGCAAGTGGGGCTTTGGTTGTGGCTCTTTTTGCTCAGTATTTCACTAAGTAGCCTTTAGCCAGGTGGTATTAGCCTCTTGATTGGGCAGGAAGGAAAGACCAGTGGTTTCTGGAAGGCAGAGGGAAGCTGTAGCTATGCTTGCCCGTCTTTTGCATGGCTGTTTCTCTGTGGCGCAACATACCCCCACCCCCAGGCCTGGGAGGAGCCACGGGGCCGTCCTGTGGATGGAATACCACCTGACCCCGGACAGCACTGTCAGCACCGGCCTCCTGAAGCCTCCAGACGACAAGGTAGTGCTGTGTACCTGAGTCCCGGAGCAGGCCAAGCCCACGAGCTGGCTGGTGCTCCTCTGGGTATCCCTGGCATAGGCAGCCAGATCGCGACTCCTCTGTGGCCCGGGTCACCTGGGCCTGAGCAGCAGCTTCTCGTGGCGAGTGGCCCCGGGCTGGAGGCTGACCAGGAGGGGGTTCCGGTGCCAGGAGCCCTCACTATCTTCTTGTTGCTTCTACAGGGGGACTGTTGCTGGAACCCGCACTGCAAGCAGGCTGTGTACTTCTTCACCAGCCTGGACTACGGGGTCCCGCGGGGTGGCCCTCGGACAGTCAGCTACACCGTGGAGTTCCACCCCCATACTGGAGACATCCGCATGGATTTCACACTCTCAGACACCCTGGAGGACGGGTGCTGACCCTCACTTGTTGAGAAATAAAGTGGCCCGAGGGCTCTGGGCTCTGAATGGTGTGAAGGCCCCTCTCTTTTCAGGGCCCAGTTAAATCTCTGGGCTCTGAGGAGCCCTCTTCCCTTTTTGCATTTTTGCACTGCCAGTTCCTTGCTTTGGGTGTGACAGGCAGCACATCTGCTGACTGAATTTGGAGCTAAGGAGGGGCCAGGGAGCCCTCCCTGCTGTGGGTCTGCAGCACTCCAGAAGCTCTCACGTGGCAGTGTCCCTTTGCTGTGCTGGGAGTGGGCTGGGTGGCTTGTGTGCTCTCAGCTGTGAAGAGCGTGGGTGGTTGGGCTGCCCCTGTGGGAGAGGCCTTGCCTATACTCAGAAACTCTGGTCCCTCCTGCCTGGCTCCAGCTGGGAGTGGCTCCTAGAGGCAGAGCTGCTGACTTGTGGCTGGGCCCTGGGCCTGAAAGACCATGGCAGGGCCGTCCTTGTGTGTTGGGTGACGTTACCTGGATACACTTGTAAGCATCTGGCCTCAATACACAGCATCAGCAGGTGACTGGGACTTGACACCTGGACATCCGACTGCTGCTCAGAGGATAGGGAGGAGGTGGTCTCAAAGCATTTCCTGAGATGCAGACCTGGGAAACCAGCCATCAGGAGGAGGAGCCAGGAGGTAAAGCCTTTTCCTGTGTGCCCCTGTTCTGGCAGAAGGACCTCCTGCCAACTACGAGGCCTGGGCTGATAGGTACCGTGTAGCCACCCCACCCCAGCCTGGCCCCCTTGCTTTGCAGCGGAAGACCAGAGTGTCCTGAGGCGGTTCCAGCCTTGCTTCTCCCCAACTCGAGGTGCCCTTCGTTCTTTATTCCCACTCCAGATGGAATAGGAGATAGTAGGAACCCAGGTGGCCTGGTTTTCTGGCAGTTTGGGGCAGACTTAGCCTGTTACCATGCTGCTTGGGGGAGGGGGCGAAGGCAGGAAAGGTGGGCCGCCCATAGCCTGGCCCCAGCTTGTCGCTCAAATAAGAGAACACCAGCCTTGAGCCTCACAGTTTATTTTCTTATTATCTATCCTTCCGTTCAGCACCAATAAAGGGAAAAAACACCTCTCTTTTCAAAATATTTTATCAGGTGTAAAGATTGTTTTTCTTCTAGGGAAGAATCGTCTGGATATATATTTGATAATATTTTTACCAAAACCTTAGGTGTGCTTACCATATAAAACCCCTAATGTCCCATGAGGATACAATACAGAAAAAAATACAGAAATTAAAAAATTGTTTTTTTTTCTTTTTTTAAAACAGTATTTCTCTAAATTTCAGCAAGTTAATACAATAGTTAAAAAGCATCAAGGTTAATATTCATACTTAAAACTCAAGGTGGTTTGGACAAATGGAAATGACCATTTCCTTCCGAAGATGACCCCTGCCTCCTGGCTTCTGTGGAGGAGGCCGGGCCTGGGGCAGGCATGGAGCCGTGGGTGGGGATTTGGATGATCCCTGTGTCCACCCCTCCTAGGCCTAGATGCCACAGAATCTGAGATCCTGATAGTGTTTTCTTTCTTTTTTTTTTTTTTTTTTTTTTAATCACACTGGAAAAGTCTGGCTTGTGCATGGTCCTAGGATCCCACAGCCGTGATGAAACGTGTGGTCGGCAGTGGTGGCCTCAGCAATGAGGCTGTGCCAGAGGGAAGCGCGAGGGGGCATGGGATGCAGGCTGGCCTGGCTCCAGATGCTAGGGCCAGGCTGGGCAGAGGCGACCTCATTAGGACAGGAAATCACCGAGGCACAGGGAGGTATGACTTGCCTAAGGCCGCCCTGTGAGGTGGGAGAGAAGCAGGTGCCCCTGTGCCGTGGCTCTCTCGTAGAGCTGCCCTGGGTGGGAGGTGGCTCCTCGGAGGGTTGGAGGCGGGGCTGGCGTTTCTCTGCTTCAGGAACCCTGGCCTCTGTCTCTCCTGTTCTGGACATAGCTGACTCGAGGCCTGGAGGCCATGGCTCAGTCCCAGCCAGCCAGGCGTTGAGCGTGTTCAGTTGGGCCCTGCCTGTGTGAGCAGAGCTTCTTGGCTGCTCCTGGCAGTGGGGTCCCCTCTGGCCCCACGGAGCCTCGCCCAGGACCTTGGAGGCCAGGCTCTCAGAGGGAGAGAACCCTGGTGGGACTGCGCTCACCGGGGAGCAGGCCCTCCCGGCTCTGCACTCTGGGTGGGGCTGGGGGCTTAGGGAATGAACGCTCCTTGCGGCGAGGCCCTCAGCCCAGACACTGCCCGGGACAAACCAGTGCCCCCATGTGTGTGGTTCTCTGGAGTGTCTTCCTCCAGCACAGGGCCTGCCTCTGGGTGGTGGTCTGCTCACCGCCCCCAACCCCCATCGGGGTCCCTCTTGCAGCTCAAGTGGGTGACAAGGCACAGCGTCCGCACACTGGCACCAGGAGGCTTCTAGTATTTGAAGGGTCCTGGTGTACTCCCCAGCCTCGCTGGGCAGATCTGGCTCTGAGCCAAGTGGGCACAAGGTCAGGGCGCTTCAAGGAGGGGAGACCAGTGGGGGTTGACAAGAACAGTCTTCCAAGTTGGAGGGTCCTTGCACTGGGAATCAGACCCCTCCCTCCCTTGCTTGGCTGTGGGGAACAATCCCGGGTGTGTTTTAAAAGGCAGGTGGGCAGAGGCAGGGCTGCCGTGGAGTGGGGAGCTGCGGACCTCCCCTGCGTGCTCTGCCATGTCCTGCCCGGGTACCCAGGGCTGGCCCTGGTCTCGTGGTGGCAGAGGGAGCATCTGTGGGCCTAGATGCCAACCAGTACCACGCGCTGCCCCAGGCAAGCAGTGGTCCTTGGCCTTCACCCCCAGCCTCCACCCTGGTGAGGGGGAGGGGACAGGCCAGTCTGCACCTGGGCTTTCTGCCTCTTCTTCCAGGGCCCCTGGGTTACCTTTCAGGATGGGCCTGGGAGGACAGAGCTGCAGCCTCACCCCAGAGGCAGGCAGACAGTTCCTGAGCTCAGCCAGGGAAAGCTTGGTCCCAAACCAGAGAGGTGTCCAGAAGGGAAATGGGATAAGGAAGAAAAAGGTTGTGTTGGTTTTGACAGAAAAGAAGCCATAAATTGATCATTTGGAATATCTGAAGCCCCCCCCCTTTTATAGCATGAGTTCCCCTTCTCCCTGTGAAAAAGTGATACTGTCTCAGATTCCCTTTGCCCACTTTGAAGTCTCTTGGGGGAGCCTCTGGGGCCCTGGCTGGCTGGGAGGGGGAGCCCAAGCAGGGTTCTCCCTCATGGTTTGCAGACCCTCTAAAGTGTTGAAGGGTGGTTTTCTTAACTTTTTCTGTTTTTCTTTTTAAAATGTAATCGCCCTTGAATGCAAGACCCTGGGAAGAGCTGGGGCTTGCTGGTAACTGGACACATCCTCATGGTCCCGGCTTGCTGGCCGTCCAGGCTGGAGGCGGGCGCTGGCGGCCCTGTGCCCAGGAATGCTTCTTTGGCTGGTTCTGATTGTGTTTGGAGTTCGGCCTTGGGTGAGGCCCGAGTTAGGGGTCTGTGTGGCTACGGTGTGGCACGTGACATGCGGGCAGTGTGCATGCGAGGGTGCAGGCATGCGAGACGATATGGCAGCGGACAAAAATAATGAACCCTGGACGAAGCTTGAGAAGAGATACAAAGAGTACAGAAACCCGGTTCTCATACTAACCCCCGGGTTACAAACTAGGTTGTGCTGTAGATTTGTAGAAAATCACGTTTTGAAAGAATGGCACTGTTGGGCAGCTGCGGCTCCCAAGGCCGGCCTGACTCTGTCCACAGTCAGTGCCCAGAGGTGCAGGGCGGCGCTGGTTCCAGCTCACCTGGGACAGACCGAGGCTACCCCGGGTCCCTGCCCTCCTCCCCCAGCACCAGGGGTGCTGGCTGGAGGGGACACGGCCAGAGAGGTGCTGCGGCTCAAAGGGCTGGCAGAGGCCCGGCTGCTCGGAGTGATGTGGCTGGTCTATGCCTCCTCCTCCCCTGCAGACACCATCAGCCGCATGGCCACTGGAAGGTGGTCAGTCAGGCCGGACAGCTGGGTGATAAAACTGAATTCTTCCACCTCCTGTTGGGGAAAAGCATTCCTTTTAGATCCAGAGGATATTCTACAGAGGAGGGGCCCAGAGGGCAGGAGTGGGGCTGTGGGGTAAGGGCTGGAACTGGCCAGGATCTTCCTGGAGACTGAGGGGTGGGAGCCTTACATGGAGCCTCAGGGTCTTTGGGAATGACCAGTCTGGTTTTCAGAGGAGAGCTCTGTGCTGTTGAGGGGTGCAGGGCAAGGGTCCCCTATCTATAGGCGTGGCCTGGCTGCCCAGCTGCCCCAGACTCACGGCCTTCCAGTCCGGGCACAGCCCCTCTTCCGCATACAGCATGTAGTCGATGCGCCTGCCATTGCCCTTCAGCAGGTCCTTGCGTCCCTTCTGGCCTGCCCCAGGGCTCTTGCTGGTGGGGAAGGCCAGGTATTCCCTGCGGCCTTCCTCGCTCTCCAAGACCCTGCTCAACACACAGGAAGGCACAGGACATGAGGTGAGCCCCTTTGCCCGCTTCCCCAGGCCCCAGATCCTGAGTATAGAGCCACGTTCTCATCCCCAAGTGAGAGAGAAGCAGGTCAGACCAAACCCTGTGTTTAAGATCTGTCTTCATGTGATTATCCCTCTTGGGTGGAGGGATACTCAGTGTGAGCCTGTGAATTCCTGGCTGAGCCATGCTGCTCCAGAGTCCGTCCGGGAACGTCCTATGTCCACTTTGGGCATGGCTGTGGCTGAAGTTTGGACACAGCATCGCCCAGAACCTGGGGCTGAGATGGAAACAGGAGCAGAACAGGGCTTTGCTTGGAGCCAGTGGGGGGGCCTGTTTCAGCAAAGAGTCTTTGCAGGTAACCTCAGGGACTCTTCTCTCCTAGAAGTCCCCAGACCTCCTGGGACTGTTGTTTCAGATCAGCAGGGGGCTGGGGGAGCCAGGAGATCACCCAGACCCTATTCTGGGACTGGACTCCTGGGTCAGTCTATCTCTGAGCGGCTGTGCCACATGAGCTCTCCTCTGACACAGGGATGATCACCGTGGGCCCCAGGATATTTTGGGAACCAGGCATGCTGAGAAAGGAACTGTGTAGGGGGGCATCTATAGAAGAGCTTGTGACTCTTGATACTGAGATTGTGAGTTTGGGCCCCACATTGGGTGTAGAGATGACTTAGATCAATAAAACTAGGGAAAACAACAACAACAACATGAGGTGTGTCTGCCATCCTATTTCTTGGAGGAAAGAAACCGATGCTGGTGCGTAAGTGGGGGTCAAGGTTCTACAGGGTGTATAAAGTGCTCAGGTGGGGTGTAAACACCCTGAATCCAGGCCTTCTGACTTCCTGTCTACTGTTCCCTTCCGGCCAGGTTTTCTCTGGAGCCTGAGCCCCTGCTGTGGAGAGCCTTCACGGGACACTGGCAGAGGGCAGGCGCCAACGGACACTGCACAGGCCTGCTGGGCCGGCTGATGCCTGGACACATGGAAGGGGCACCTGGACGTGCACAGCCAGCAAACATGGGTTTCTACAAGGTTTTTATCAGCCCTGAGATAAATACACTAATGACATGCAGAACATCACTACATCTCAGAAATATAATCTATTACTGTCCTTTGCCTTTGATAATTAATTCTAGCATCAGTGATCTAAGAGTTACTGATAGTCATTTTTTAATCAACTCATAAAAAGATAATTTTCTCAGCATAGGATGATGTTTCAAATTTAGTCTATAATCTAATTAATTGGCTCAAATTAGCTATGAGGAGCCACCGCCCTGACTGTGCAGTCTGAGGCTATGAGTTATAAATTGCTTCTGCTGCCGGCCTCTCAGATGTCCCTTTATGGAAGCCTCGTCAGGTTCAAGTATGAAGTTCGGCTGGGATGGAACTGTCTCTACTTTGAGAACACTGGTTTGTGTTAGCTCCCCTCATATTTCAATTTGCCTAATTGGTGGCTACCAGCTGCCAGGATCCTGTAACACAGGCCATCTCCCTAGGCCTTCCATAAGGGTCTTGGCAACCCTTGCCCTTGCCTGGGGAGATCCCTTCCCGGACGGTCCTCAACAGGATGGCAGGTTGAGCTCTTCCAAAGTGAGCCTGGACTCTGGTGCTGATGTAGGAAATGCCACCTCAAGACCCTCATCCTGGTGAGAGGCTTCTTTGTGGGCACACAAGCTCCCCCCCCCCCCCGACCCGGGGCACGAGTCTCCACCTACCCCACCTTCAGAGTCTGAGGCCCTCACAGGCTTCCTTCCCACGGAACTGTGTGCTCCGCTCTGCCCGGCACAACGCGGCTCCCCACACCAGAGTCGGGGCTCAGTGCTTTTCCCGGCCCCAGGAACCACCCTCCCCTCCATGACCGTGGCAGTAAGGCTGCCAACTGCTTCTTACTTCTGCAGATTGTCAGGGGTGCAGACTTCCTCGTCGTAGAGGTTGTCTGTGTCCAGCATGGTACCTGGGAACAAGGAGGCAAGAGTGGTCACTGCGGGCAGGGCCCAGCCAGCCTCTAGGAGGGCTGCCTCCCTGGGGCAGGAGGCCTGAGTGAAGGCTTTGGGCCTGGGCAGTTGACTGGCCCTGCCCCTTGCAGTGGGGTCTTGGGGGCAGGGCCTGAAGTCTTCCTGGGAAGCCTGTGGAGAGCACAATCTTGGTGTAGAGTTGGGCCTTGGCAGTACCCTCCCCCTGTCCTCCCTTGGTGCCCCCACCCTCAACCTTCTGGCCCAGCCCCAGCTCACCGATGGCCCAGGACTTCTCCTCTCCGGGCCCCAGGCGGCAGGGGTCCTTGTAGTGTGTAAACAGGGAGTGCTGCTGCTCCAGCTTGTCATCTGTGCAGGGAGGGAGGGAGGCAGTGCTGTGGGGCACAGGGTGTCTGTCCTCGAGGGCTGCCTGTCTCTGCTTCTAGTCACCCTGACCAGATAGCACCGAGTCCCTTGGCTAACTGCCACTGGGTGTGCTCTGTGGTCCGTTTGTCACTGGTTTTCTGTGTCCTTGACAATGCCCCTCCACCCCCCAGCCCCAGCGCTGGGTTGAGCTATCTTCTGAGAACAGTGGTCGCTGTTCCTCCTGGGCTCCCTCCAGGTGGTGCCCAAATGTGGCAGCAAACCCTGTAGGGGGCCAGCTGATGCTGCCCTGGCCGGCGGTCCTGCCCTCATGGACCTGGGTGCCCAGGTTGAGTGAGGAGTGACCATACGAGGCTGAGAGAGAGAGAGGTGACCTGCCCTGGATTCCAGTTTGTCCGGCCAACTCACAGAGCCAGAAAGTGCCTGGGAGGAAAGACAAGTACCAGGTGGGGCCTGAGCAGGTGGAACCTTCTGGCAGCCTCTTCCTTTGTATGCTGTGTTCCCTCCCTGACGCAGGGAGATCCCAGGAGCACCGGCTTTTGAAGCTGGTCCTAGGCATTTGACTTAGAGGGAACGGTGGGCTAGGATCGGGGGCTGTGCCTTCCGTGGCAGACACTGTTGTCCCTACTCACCATCGTCAGAGGTCGGTTTCTGGGTCATGAACCAACAGAAACAGCGGACACCAGGTAAGGGCACCGCACTGTGCTCCAGGTGGGACCTTCAGGTCTCCTGCCTTCCCTGAGGGCTAAGCCTGAGCTCACAGACCCCATGTCACTCATGGGGTGAAACTCTGTAGTGTCTCCTGGGCTGGGGCTGGTGTGGAAGGAGCCCAGGAGCCAATGGGTGGGTGGGGAGTGGGGTGGGAGTTGGTGTTGCTCCCATCAGCTCCTCTGGCAGGGAGAAGCTCAGAGCTGCACAAACTCCCAGGAGGCCCCTGAGATCCACATGATCACCAGATTAGTTATTTAAGTCAATTATTTAAAAGATTGCCCATGATTAGTTTTTAGTTTTTTAACCTAATGGTTAAAGGCATAATGACCAGGGTTCAAATCCCAGTTCAACCACTTCCTGGCTCTGTGACCTTGGACTAGTTACTGGGCCTGTCTGGGTCTCTGCTTCCTCTCCCACCCTTGTAGATCAACAGCGTGCTCACCGTCAGGGTAGTTCTGAGATTTAAACGAAACAGCCGTTAGAGGTTAGAATCGTGCCTGGTGCAAAGCAAGAGATGACTGAAGACCTGGTGGGTAGTGTTAGCTGACTCGCCCATAGTCTGAGTTTCAGAGGCCCCGAGGCTTCTTTGTCAGAGTTCATTTTTAGGGCATCTCTTTGTCTCCTGTAAGGAGGCCTCTGCGCTTTCTAGGCAGAGCGTGGGCTCTTCTCATTTTAGGATTTCTAGGGGGCAGAGAAATCACAGTCTTGCTAATATCTCACCCACATGCTCCCGAGGAGCAGGAAGTTCTTCAAGCTGCAAAACCCAAGCCTTTCCCGCTGTGCCTGGAGCCCGTGCCCTCCCCAGGAGCTGACCCGACTGGGGAGGACCACCACCTCACCTGAGGAGCAGTTGTCAAAATTAAAATCTCCACAGATGACATCAAACGCCACCAGCTCCTCGGGGTTGGCTGTGCTGGACGAGGAGGTAGATTTTCGGAAATCAGCCAGCCAGTCCTGAAGCAGGTCCAGCTGCTCACACCGGATGGCACTGTCCTCTGTGGGGCAGAACCGGAGAGATGAGATGGCGGAGCTGCAGTGAGACCCCCGCCAGGCCGGGGTGCCGCCCCCAGCCTGTGGGGGGCTGATGGCCCACCCCCTGGAAAGCCCGGGCCGCCAGATCCTACCTGGCAGGGCGTGCAGGTGTGTGCAGGAAATGTACCCGACAATTCTTTGGTCCTGAGGTGTGCTTCCCACCTGCACCTGTTGGGGAGGGAGGGAGGTGTTGATGATGAAGTCGACATTATCCTGAGTACAAGCCCATTTCTGTCAGCTCCTGGCTACGCTTGGGCCCAGGTAGGAACAGCAAGGTCATGCATCCAGGAGCTTCTGGTGTAGTGTGGAAGGCAGATTTATCAAGAAATACCAGCTTCTGGCATGGTAAGTGCCACTAGTAAATCATGCAAGCATTATAGGAGGAAAAATGCAGAAATCCCCGCTGATTGCCTCCTTATAACCTGGGCGTCTCCTGGTGACCAGAGTGTCCATGTGGATGACCCTCACATGCCAGCCCCTCAGTTCTTTGCCCACTCCTGTCTGATGGCTGTTCTCCCTTCCCTTAGCCACAGCCTAGACCTCATCCCACCCTGGAGCCCATTCCTCCAAATTCTAAGCCAGACTCCCCTTTGGGAGCAGCCCAGCCACAGAGCCTGACACCCTTCCTGACACTGAGAGGGCCCTGCCCTTTGCTCTCTCCCCAGCCTCTGCCCCTGTGGCTCCGCGAGAAGCTACTTCATCTGCTTCTGGGCAGTGGTTCCTGTTGGTTTCCTGATCTGAGATGACAGCTATGGCCTCCATCTCCTTGGCACCTGTCATGCGGTGACCTCATGGGTGGGCAGTGTGTGTGTGTGTGGGGGGGGGTCCTCTGAGACTCTGTGCCCAAGTGCTGATGATCCTGGTGGTGTGTCTCCACAGGCTGGTGTAACGACATCACAGACCACCCGAAACACCCCCCAGTGGTGACCCCACTGCAAGCCTGAGTCAATGCGGCTGTGGTTGTGGAGTTAGGTGATGCTGCCCGGCCGGCTGCTCTCCAGGCCTCTGATCCCGGCACAGCTGCTGGAAGCTGCGATAGGAGATTCCCACCCTGCTCCCCACCAGCGGTGTCCCTTAGATCATCTGTGGCTGCCATTCCCCAGAGGTCTCTCTCTCTCTCTCTCTCTCTCTCTCTCTCTCTCTGGGCTTTCCTCCCATCTGAACCTCAGCAGTCTTCCTCAAACTTCTTTAATCCATTCCAGAATGGGTTTTCTATGATAATGAGATCCTGGACCCTGGGAACTGTCCAGGGAAGGTGACTGTAGAGGCCAGTTCGTAGCTAAGGGATATCTATCTGCTGAACATGGCTCTGCTCATCCCCCAGCTAAAAGTGGTCTGGACTCGCCAACGCTGCCACATCACGGGTCCTCCAATCTGAGAGCCTGGGGAGGCTTCCATCTTTGTTTTTGCTGCCAAAGTCAGGTAGGCATTATTCTCCTCCATATGGGTTTTCACATCATTAGGCATTCTTAGCCTTCTATAGCTCTTCAGCTCCTTTCCCAGCCTGGATGGATGCACATCTCTCCTTCCCCAACACCCAGCAGGATGAACATCTGGTTACTTGAAAATGGGCAGTACAGCCTGAATTGGGGGCTGTTTATAAAGTCCCATGTTTACCATTCACTTCTGGCCCACAATCTAGACCCAAACCTCGGCCTTTCAGTACCACCCCCCCCCACCGCGCAATGTCTTGGGAAATCACATACCATTCATGTGCACTGTTGCAAAAACACAACACAGTCTTTAAAAAAACAAAAAACAAAAAACAAAAACCACCGTGCCCCCAATGGCCACACGATGGCGCTCTTGCCCCTTGTATTCCTGGGGCAATGCATCTGTTCCCCCGAAATAATATGCTGTGAGCACTAGGGCGTGGAGCTTCACGGACCCTGCCTTGCTAGAGCCTTACAACAGGTCGGAGGGTTATGCTACAATTATACTAGAATTGGCTCAGGGTTACGAGGCTCTTTTGGCGGAGGCCGGTTCACATCAGATGTTTGCTGCCCTCAGCCCAGCTCCCCACCTGCTCTGCTGCTTCAACTCCTGGTGACTTGGCGGGCTTTTCACCCATTCTAGGGTCTTAGTGCGTCAGCCCCTCACTCACTCAGCACTTGGTGTCACCTGCCTGTGCTGAGACCTGCACAAGGATAGGTGAGGTGCACCACTCAACACCGCCCCCCCCACACACACCGCCTTCAAGAGTACAGCGGGAGGGGGGGGGAAGACACAGCCACAAGGACCCAGCTACCTAGCCGCATCCAGCCCATGTCTCAGACCCTCTGGTGACTTCCCTGCTCTCCATCATCCCCATTAGCCTTGTGAGCTGCCAGGACCTACTTCCCTACGTGTTTGAACTGATTGATTCTGCTCTGGCTCGAGTCCTTGGGAATTGCAGAGGTTTGTGTTTCTCTTGGAAGAACAATCACACTGAGAGGCTGTGCCTTTTAGTCGTGGTGGGCAAAGACGTCAACAGAGAAGGGGCCCAGAATGAGGTTGTCTCACACGTGAGGAACAGCCAGGGGTTCCAGTCCCTTCTCAGGGTGCGACAGTATTAGGAAAGCACGTTGTCCTCAGGCACAGACCTTCCGCAGAGTGGGGGGGAGGGAAGGGATGCAGATGAAGGGAGCACTAGTCTCCACCTGCAGCCTTCCAGCCCCAAGCCCCTGCCTATCTCCTGAATTCTCATTTATTTCACTCCTCCAGGAAGGAGAAACAGGCACGCTTTCCCCAGCAGATGGGCTGGGTCTGCTGTGTACAGGGCTCAAATGGCGCATTCTCCTTTCTGTCTGACGGAGAAACAGGCAGCAGGAGGGCTGAGGGTCCCACAGAGGGAAAGCTGGCTCTTGCTGGCCGTGCTGTGGACAGCTTCACAGAGGCGGCGTGGCCAAGCCAGGGTGGGACCAGGCCACAGGGAGCCAGGCACAGAGGCCCCTGGGGGAGTGGGATGCAGGAGCAGAGCCCCCCAGCACTGAAGGCTGGGCTTCTCCCTGACGCAGCAGGAAGTGGGCAGCAGGAGTCAGACCCAGGACAGCACTGCAGGAGAATGGAGCTGGGAGGGGAAGGACAGCCCCAAACAAAGGCAGAAGCAGAGGAATGGTGGCCTGGGCCTTGACAGTGCAGCCGGGGGTGAGGGGTGGACCTAGACGTATTTGAAAAGTGAAATTAGGAGCCTGGATGGAGGAGAGGGGCTCAGGGCACAGGGAGGAGTCAAAGCGGGCATGGTGGAACCTGGCTGATGGAGATGGACAGAAAATAAGTGAAAGAGGACGGTGTCCAGGAGGCAGCTGGACACGGGGTTGGGGGCTCAGGGGAGAGGTGTGGGCTGGGACAAATGCAAGAGCCCTCAAGCAGGTGTGGAAATGGAGTCTGTGGAGTGACTTCCCCAGGCAGGTGCTGGGGGGTGCTGGCATGGTGACCACTTGGAAATGAAGAGGCAGACCCAAGTGAGGTCAGGTCGCCCTGCTGTGGGGGCTGCCAACCCTCAGCTCGGGCTGAGAGCCGGACAGGTGGGAGGAGGCCTGCCAGGCGCTGTCAGATCTGCGAGGTGGGACAGAAACTGCAAACTAGATTTTAGGTGGAATATCTTGATTTTTAAATGTTGGCCAACAAAGGAAACTTGTTAATGCTGTGGACCAAATCAAACATAGCTGCAGACCAGTTTTAAGCGAAGGAGCAGAGGAAGCACCAGCAGTTCAAGGCTGGGCAGGGGACCAGGAGCCTGGAAGGAATGGCCAGGGAGGTGAGAAGAATGTCAGCAGCAGAGAGGCCATCCCAAGAAGACTGTCATGACCCTGGTGGGCATGGTGGTCGGGGGAGCCAGACTAAGGAGGGAGAGGTGGGTGTGGGCTGGGGGCAGGGCCAAGGGGGTCCCCAGCTTCTGAACCATCTGTGGCAGAGCAGGTGGGAGGGAGAGGGTACACTCTTCTCTTGAGCTTGACAACACGTCCCCTCCTTCCCCCAGAAAGTCACTCCAGCTGCTGAGACAAAAATATATCTGAGGAACAGAACATTGATGAACCATATGCCAAAATGGGGAGGTAAGAGGAGTTCATTCAATTTCAGCATCTCAGGCTGTGAGAGAAGAGTCAAGGACCCCGAACTGTGGGCCTACAGAGCTGCATAAGAACCACTGAGTACTCCGGTGTGGGGTCTGGGTCCTGTAGCATCTGGCCAAATGTTGCTTCCCAAAACTCTGGAAACGCCGAGAATGGCTTTTGCGTAGGGAACAAAGAGTCAACACTTGGAGCGTGTCAGGCTCAGTAGAAGATAACGGGTAATGACCAAATTACCATGGTCTAAAAACTCCTGCAATTGCATCCAAATTAGCAGAAATAATTATGATTCACTTTAATTAGTGACTATGGAAGCAAAGCCTTGGGCTGGTGGGCAGAGGGCCTGGCATGGCAGCTGCGTGAGAGCCGGGAGGGAGGGGGCACCCAGCCAGTGAGGCTGCGGGCCTAAGTGAGCAGGCGTTTGCCCCTTTGTGGACAGGGGCCCCCTGCCGCCGCCTCCTCCCTTGATCACTGCCATCTTCACTGCTGGCACCACAAGGACCTCCCAGGCCTCAAGCTCACTCCCTGCCCCATGAATGGGCACTAGGTTTCTTACAAATGAGGAGATAATGGCTCAGAGACCTGAGGAACTTGCCCAAGAGCACCTGGCCAGGCCTCTCTGAGCCTGAACCCTCAGCCCTTGTCACCAAGCTGGGAACCCACTGGCTCAGCTCCAGGAGAAGCCTGGCCTGCCCTCAGCCCTCCCAGAGTGGAAGGACCCCCTGACTGCAGCCCACTGTTTCCCCCCCACCAAGGCTCTGCCACAGGCTGTTGTGTTCCCCGGGGCATGGCCACAGCCTCCTACCTTGAGAAACAGCGCCCCTTTCGAGGCCAGGCCATCGGAGCGCCGCCCGTTGGGGTAACAGTGATAGGCCACGTCCATGATAGGGTAGCGGCTGGCAAAGAAGAGGCCGCTGTTGAGACACTTGAAACTGCAGCAGCCTTGGCAGCCATAGACCCCGACGTCGTACAGAATGTACTCGAAGTAGCCGTGCAGCTGGTCTTTCAACTTGGCGGCTGCCCGCTTGTCAAACACCTCCTGCAGACACAGGAAGTCCAGGTTGGCGGGGAAGAAAGCGGACACCTCGTGGTCAAAGGCCTCGTCCGGGTGCCGCCTCTTGCGTGCAGCCGCCTTCTTCACCCCGGAGGCCTTGTAAGGGAGCTTGCTGTTGGTGGCGCCCGGCTCCCCACTGCCGCTGCTGTCCGCCGCGGCCCGCACCTTCACCAGGGACTCCCTGGAGGCCGATGGGCTGCCCAGGCTCCCCGAGTCCCCGTCCCGCTGACTGTGGTTGGGTGTCTGGCCCTGGGGGGCCCCACCAGCCCCATTCCTGGCTTGGCCCCCAGCAGCGCTGTCGTCGGCTTCAGGGGGCCGGCCCCCCTCCTCGCCTCCAATGCGCACGATGCAGGCGTCCTCCAGGCTACCCTCCGCAGGCTCCCCGGAGGCCGGGCCATTGGCAGCCTCGTCACTGGGATGACGCCCGCTGCCGTCACCCTTGTATTCCACAGAGGCCGTCCTCTTAATGCTTCCGGGGACGGCCTTGGCCACACCGTCGCTGCCCTGCGGTGACACCAGGCTGCTGAAGCTGGCCGCACTGATGGAGGTGTTGGTGGGCGAATCAATGTAGATTTTGATCTGGGGCCGACTGGCCCCGTTGCGGATTCTCTGCCCGATCTCTTTGGCCCGCGCTTGGGTGTTAAAAACATTGTTGAGCCTGGCCAGCGAGTCAGGGAGGAGGCAGAGGTTGGCACTGGCAAAGCAGAAGCTTTTGCCGGGACCTGTACCCTTCCATTCACTGAGCAGGGCCGCCCCACCAGCCAGGCCCTTGTCCTCTAGCCGGGAGTAGATGTAGGGTCGGCGGGCCGACTGCAGTGGGGACCAGAGGAGGAACCCGACGAAGGCGAAGGGCAGCGAGGCCACCAGGAGGGCCAGGTAGACGGGCGTGAAGAGCACAGTGCAGAGCAGCTGGAGGTAGCACGGGTCGTCCGCCCGCTGGCGCTTTTCGTAGGTGGTGGGGATGAAGGAGGCCACGAGCCGGTCTGCCAGCCAGTAGCATGGGAAGATGAGCGCCCAGGACACGGCATGCAGGGCGGACAGACAGCTATTGGGAAAGGGGGCCGTGTACAAAACCATCGCAGCTCACTGGGCGCCGCGGCCGGCCCTACTACATGGTGTCCGTGGCAGCGCGGGCACTTTCTTGCGAGGGGTGGGGTGGGGGAGCAGGTGGAGGAGGGGTCACCTCCTGGTGAGATGCGTCTCTGGGTGGTCAGTGGTGAGTGTTGGCCAGCCAGGCATGATTCACCTCAGTGCGCCATACTGGGCCACCAAGGCCCTCCGGGGAGCCTGTAAGACAGAAAATAAGGGGCTTTACTCATCCTTAGGGGAGCAGGTCAGATGCTGGGGTCACTCGCTCCCTCACCCTGTTCCCGCTTCCTCCATCAAAAGCAGGAGTCTTCTGTTTGCCTGTGTGTGTTTGGTTTCCTTAGAGTAAACACCTTGGTGACATGACATGACCACATCCATCTTGATCTTGTAGCCTAACTGCTCAGAAATGGACCCCAAATTTTGGAGGGGCCTAGCTTTGTGGGCATTTGGGAGGCAGCCTGGGGATCCTGGAGGGTGCCTGGGCCTGACACTGGCCTGGAGCAGCCAGAAGCCCACCAGGAGCCAGGGGTGTACCTGGAATGGGTAAGGGGTGACCATGATTCAGAGGAGCCTCAAATACACCTGCTTGTCACTGAGTGTCCTTCAGGTCAGAACAGAGGGGGAGCAAACAGCAGAGACATGGCGTCAGAGAGTTCTGGGGTGCAGGGCAGTGTCGCTGGCAGGAGGACCCCTGAGAGGAGGGCTCCACCCACAACCGGGCTCTCACAGTGCCCATCCTGCAGCATCAGCCCACTCGTGCCCTCCCGCCCCTGCTGACCCCCACCGGAAATCTCTGACCAGCCAGGATCCTGGCACAACCTGGGCCTTAACCCATGTCCAGAATGATGGTCCCTCTGACTTTTGGAGAAGCATCCTGGAGCTGTGAGGATCTGGCCCAAGCTTCTCCCCTAAGCCTGAGATGCAGCCTGGGGCCCAGCTGAGGCTAGTGGCTGGAGTAATGAGTCCACCCTGGGTTCCTGTCCCAGCCAGGGCATGAGCCTCAGACCAGGCCTTAGGGCCCTGCCTAGCAGAGGCTGCCAGCAGATTACTGTGCTGAACGTAGAATTAAGAAAGGCCAAGAGTCTGGAGTGTTGGCCCAGCCTCCAGGGACCCATGGGAGATCATTGTGTGGTGAAGCTGGTATAACCAACATCTTGAGTCTTCGTTACCCAGTCTGTTGGGGGGTTCACTTCCTATTCACTGTCTCCCCGACCCAGTCCAGCCTCTGCCCTGGTGCCATGGAGGGTGGGGGTCTGTGCCCACGTTCCATCCATCCTGGCCCACCGTTTGTCTTCCTCCTGCCTCCCTGGGCACTGCAGCTAGGACCTGGGTGCCATTTGGGTTTTGCCTCCCCCCCGCCCCAGTCCCCACATCGCATCTGTCCCTCTCCTGGAGCTCCTGTGCTGGTCCATGAGTGCATGATGCTTCAAGTACTATCTTGGCTGCGTCTCTCTCAGGCCAAGTTCAACACAGGGGCTGGGGGGATTCTGTCTAGTCTGACCATCCCTCAGATAACCCAAAACTCAGATACTCTGTGGGCCCTTTTTTGGCTGTCTTGTGTCCTAACCAGGCCTGCCATGTCTCCCTTGTGCCCGGATCCCACTTGGTGGAATGTGGTTTCCTGTCCCTGCCCTGCCCCTCACTTAGCTCACCCCTTTTCTTCTAGACTCAGCTCAGAAATCACCTCCTCAGAGAGACCCTTTTGCCCCCTTTGCCTCTCCTTGCCAGCTGGCTTAGGTAGCTCCCTGGGGGGCTCCTGTCTGCATTGTGCATGGCCTGGTCTCTGCAGTTCCAGGTCATAAAGCTCATGGGTCACAGCCACCTCCCCAGCAGACTGGGAGCTTCCTGGAAGAAGGGGCTGCATTGAGGGGCCTGGCGGGTCCTGGGGCTGCACCAGCAGGAGCTCAGGAAGTGGGTGGGTGACTGGAGGTCAATCTGCACTGCCTCCAGGCCTGAGGTGCAAGGAGGGGGTGGGGTGGGGTCTCCGGGATGCACCTGTCACTTCAGTGCACTCCCATGGCCACATCTCCAGGGCTGATTTAGTGGGGACAAGGTACTTGTTCCAGACCAGAGTTTAATATCTAAAGATGAACTTTAGCTGGCATCTGTGTCTGATTCTGGAGAACACATTTCACAAGAATTTTACTTTCTTTAGGGGAAATTGCTTTGAAGGAAACCCTGTAAGTTTAGTTTGGGGAAGCAGGTGTGTCTAGTCAGACCACAGCTCTCTGGCCAGGAGCCATGGGAAACTGTTGCTTTGTAGAGAGCTCACGCTGCACCTTGGTTGGATCTGGGAAAAGCGTGTCGTCCGCCTGTGGGCAGTGGGACCACGTTCGTCTGGTGCTGTAGTCACAAGGACTCTCATTCAGGTGTGGGCAATGAGGCTCACGTTCAAGGATGGTGGTGAGGCCAGAGGGCCAGCCCTCCATCCCTCTCCCTGTCCCCCGGGGCAGGGGTTGGGGAAGCTGTTTCAGAGGTTGGGAAGAAACCCCTGACATCCTGCCCTGGAGTCCCAGACCAGACAGTGGCCTTCACCACCCTTTCCAAACTGCACCCCCAGTCCTGGTCTTCAAAGGCCAGGCTCCATGAGGGGAGGCAGGTGCCCTAACCTTAACGGCCTTTACTGTGGGGTCTGCCGATTCAGAGGTCCTGTGAACTGAGGCCCTGAGACTAATGTTATGATGACAGTGGCTGACACTGGAGGGTTTGTTCTAGGCCTGCTGACCCTCTATGCGCATGACTTCTAACCCCCTAGAAGAGTTGTAGCAACTCTGTGGCCCAGAGCTCGTGGCTCAGTACTTAGAGGGGCTGTGGCTGTCCAGAACTCTCCTGTGCCTGCCACCTGACAGACTTACTTATTCTTTCTTTAAAATCTCAGCCATGTCATTTGAGTGTAACGCAAACTGGGGCAGCAGCCCGCTGGCTCCCTTGGAGCTGGTGGGTTTAGCTGCCGTCGGTCCAGCTTGCACACACCATGTTTGTGTTCGGAGCGGGCAGCTTCAGACTGGCCAGGCTGAGAGCCGGGGGAGAGGGAGCAGGTCCACCTCCACCAACTGGACCTGGAGGAGGTGGCAGGTCCTGTCCCTGCAGGTACGGAGGGTGGGATGGCGTCTCCCAAGCCTCCAGCAGCCGCTGCAGTGGGCACCAAGGTGCTAGGGGTGGGGGTCTAGGCCAGAATTCTGGGGACACCCAGATGCCACCCCCAAGTGCATGGAGGGGGCCCACTCCCAGGTCTTCTGAGCTCTTTCCTCCTGTTCTCTGTGGCCGGAGGTGACCCACCCAACCCAGCCCACACCATCTTCTGTCTTCTGAGTGCCCACCTCACATCTTCTGAGTGCCCACCCCTGTCTTCTGTCTCAGGCTCCAGCCACAATGTGCACAGAGGTCAGAAAAGCTCCCTAAACAATCTGATTACATCCTCCCTCTGGAGGTCCCATGGTCTTGGAGGAGAAAGTCCATTCTTCCGGTCTCTGTCTAAGGGCCCTCGGTGCTCCTGCCCCTCTTTCCTTCCCCAGCCCCACCCCGGAGGGCCCCCTAGCAGCCTTGCTTCATCCAGGGGCTCCTGAGAGAAATTCTCAAACCCTCTGTTCCCCCCTGTGGCTCATCCCTAATGCTGGCTACTGACCGGGCAGGGTGGAGACCTGCCGCCAGCTGGGACCATGCTCTTAGTGAGGCCTGGCCCCGTCCTGAGCTGCCCTGTGTTGACCTCAATTTTGTTGTGGCCCCAGAAATCCTTCTGGGCAAGTTCTCCCCCAGCCCTGCCTGCAGCAGCAGTGAGCCGCCAGGCATGTTCTTTGTGCCTCTCCTGGGCTGGTCACAGGAATGCGTTTGGTCTCCATTCAGGCATCAGTGGGTTGAGGTGGCTGGCAGCCCAGGGGGCCACCACAAGCATTCTATCCTCGATGGGGCAGATCTGAGCCGCCCAGCTCTTCATGGCTACCTGGGTCCCTGGTCCAGCCTGCCCCCTGCCCCCCAGCTCTCAGCGCCCTGGACAGAACGAGCCTCCGGGTGCCGCCTGCCCCGCCCTGCTCAGCACACAAGCCCTGCATCTGCGCCCGGGGGCTGCTGACACAGTTGACACAAAAGGGATTGCTACCAATGGAGGCAGTTTCTAAAGCTCTGTGGTTAATTATTTTGTCTCAGTGAGATGAAAGGAGGATAAACAAACAACAACACATTAATTAGTCTGATCTACACTTTCCCTAGTAAAGAGGGGAATGGGAGCTAAACACCACTCCACACCCGAGGCTGGGGCGGGGGTCTGCACCCCCTCAGCAGGGCAGAACATGGTGGGTGGCCTGGCCCAGGCTCGGCCTCCAGGTGAGGAATGCCTGCCCCCGCCCCCCATACCCCAGCTCTTCGCTCCCTGTCCCAGAGCCGTCATCTTTACCAAGCAAAGTCCAGCACGGGCATCTCGGATGAGGGTGACAGGTCCGACAAAGGCCACATGTGCTGAGCGGTCGCCGCTCAAGCCCATATGCTGGATTGTGCTTTCAGTTTCCTCTTTTTAAAGTAGTAATTACTCCTGGGTTTCTTCCCATTATAAATCCTGGCGTGGGGCTTCCTGGTTGCTCAGAATGCCTGAGCCTCCTCCCTGCCCCAATGCTATGGTCTCCGGAGCTGAGCTTGGGTCCCAGACACCCTCAGGTCCTCATGGTCACTCCTGAGCCCTAGGATCAGTATGGGGGGGCTACCCAGTACCCCAAGGGAGGGCTCCTGGGAGTCAACCTCAGGCTTGCTCTTCACTCCCAATGTGAGGCTTTATCCTTCCCTAGCTCCCCTCTGTTCCTCGTAGGACCTCCCTGACCACGCCTCAGCTGAGGTTGGCTTCTGTGGATTCCGTGCATTGTGGAGAGGGGACAAGCTGGTTCTGCGCACTGTGCTGGGTGCACCTGGCGCCCGCTCCACAAGCCTCTAGGCTCCTGATTGCTCTGCCGTACCTTCAGATCCTCGGAGACCCATCCACGCCATTCAGGCTGGAGCTGCCAGCCTTCACTAACATGTTCCTTCCCCTACAGCTAGGACTGGACTGGGCCCAACTGGGACAAGGAGCCTGGGCTGCAGAGCCATGACAGAGGGAGCAGATCAGTTCACAGGCTGATCCAGCCGGGAGGGGAAATCGCCTGGCAAGGTCTGGGGGCCAGACAACCGTAAATCCAGATGGGAGAGGAAGAGGCGGTCACAGACTGGCCAGAGAG